ATATATTTTAAAACTGAATGCCTGGTCAAAGGGTGACAAGTTACCTTTTTCGAATACGACTTAATTTACAAGTTCTATGGACTACTTAGAAATTTCGTAAAAGATAAAAAATTTTATATAAATGACAAAAACTATAACCATCGCAATAAGGAATTTAAAAAAATTATAACTTTTCGAAGCGAAAACACAATAATTTAATTTATTTTCTATAAACTTTAAATTGAATATAGCTAATTTGCATTTTTGCTTTGCGCGTAGGTTTCGTGAAATCAACGTGCTTGGGGTATAAATGTGAATTTTAAATAAGCAAATATTTCTTAAATTTCCATGAATCTCGTCATCAATATCTGAAAGTATTCAACAAGAAAACACGACAACCATTTTGATTTGGTTAACTATCAAATTCTTCAAATTCTCAAATTTTGTTTGATTTGCGTTTCTGATTTCAAAGCAAATCTTCGCCAATAGATCTGTTTATTGTTTACTGGTCAAAAGATTGGCTTGTATATGTTCACGTTGATTTTCGTATAAATTATATGTCAATGATTTGTGAAACAATTTACTATCTTGATTTCTATCCAATCTTCCCGAAATACGAAATTCTATCTCATCGTCGTAAAAAGGAGTCAATTAAAACTAGTTTATGAAAAAGTAAAGAAACAGCTGTTGACCAGGCATAAGAGTTTTAAAGCATGCATTACTTCCAAAGGCAAACCGAACCCAGTTAATAGCACAAAGTAAAGGATATGATATAAGATGGCACTGCAATAGACTCGTGCTTCGTGTATGAAAAAAAAATCTTTTTTGAATTAAAATGTCCTAAATTTCCATTTTGACAGGGTCGGGATGGTTATCAAATTTGACAACCACATGACGTCACAACATGGCGACCATTTCGGAAATCGTAGATTTTCGTACTCAATTCGAAATGTTCGCCGTTTATTTGCTATTGTTCGCCGAATGTACCAATAATTCTATTGGAAATTAGTGAATTGATACTGTTACTGTTTGTTAAACAAAATTCATGCCGAGAATAAATTTTCAATTCAATCGACGTGTCTTTGGCCAACTTTTTCTCGTTGTATCATTCAGTTGTCAATCGTGAAGTACGAAATGGCGTTTTGTCAAAACTACTGACTGGCGTTAGTAGAATTAATCAGAGTCGAGTGAACAATTTTTCATAAAACGAACATCACAACTTTGGTTTGTTAAACTGAATAGTTAGTTTTGCAGTTAAGTGGCTGCCAGACTCAAATGGCCATCGTCCGTTGATTGGTCGGTTTTGACCAGTTGTTCAGGTTAGTTTGTCCTATTTGGTCTGTTGGTGACTGTGTCGGTCTTTTTTTTTAAGTCTTTTTTTTTAAAGTCGTTTGTGTGATGTCGATGATTATATTCATTTGTTGTGAGGACTCTTCTGTAAGTTTGTAAACTAACTTTTCAAAGTCAATCTTTGAAGACATTACAAAATACGAAAAATTAGTCAAAGTCGTCAAAAGTCTTCACTTTGAGATTTCATTTGGTTTTTGTTCGGCTGAAGTATTCTGTTACAGTGCCACCTTAATATCACCTTTGTGTAACATTAACTAAGATATAACTGTGATACTAATTGCTACACAAACCGAAAAAATGAGCGATCAGAGCTTCGAAATCTATAATTTAAGAGTCAACATTCCGTAGTCAAGATTTCAGTTTCCAATTGCTTCGATCTTTATTTCGATGCACGATGCAACGACATTATCTGAGTTAAATTACACTAAATTATAGATAGTTGTTCAAATAAATAAAATGATCGCTCAGAGTCTGCATAACAATCTGTAACGTAAGAAACTATTCCAAAAATGGTGGCTAATTGAGGACTATCACTTACCATGTAATCACTTTTTTCCGTTTCATTACAACTAGCGAGAGAACGAAGACTTCGTATAACAATTAGACATCTGAGGGGTCACCATTTTTGCTGGTATTTCTAAATAATTTTTAAGTTCTTATCTTCGCAGTATCCACTAAGACGTCAGTGATTGGAATGTCTTCTCTTGACCAGAAAATTTCTTCTATAATCTTCTGACAACAGTGTTCCTCCTGAAAGTAGAAAATATGAATTTGATTAGGGAATGTTTACTTTCCATGAGTCGGAAGAAAACTGAAAAATGAAAACTCTGTATAAATCTTTCGCTCTTTGTCAAAACTATAGAAAAAGGGAGAGCATGAGAAATTTTTAAATTTTAATTACAATGAAGCAAAGACCACTGAAGACCTCCTCGTGGCTGCATTCTAATACAAAATGAAGTCCCCAATTGATTTAGCAAGCAAAACATTTTAATTTTAGCGCTTCGCTGAAAATATTTTACAACCAAAAGTCCTGCTTTTCTCAAAGCCGATACCCTAATTCAGTCTAACTTCGAGTTGAATAGCCGTTTAGGCCGAGCAACGGATTTATGCTACGTCGTTGAACTGAGATAATACGACTCGTTTAGAACTCTGAAGGAGTTTATGGCGATATTTCCCAAAGACAATGCTTACCTGCTATTTAATGACATAAGAGTGGTTTCGTTGCTTTTTTACAGGTCCAGTGTCTTCCTTTCAGGGTGGAACGTTATGTTTAGCACAACGAACAGCACATCTTTACTCCACGACGGACAGCGTGGTTTGCTGAAAATTATACTACTTCTCATGAATATGGATAAACAACTGCAGCCAATAATCGGCTGCTACGTCACAGATTTGGCGCGGAGTTCTGTGCACGCTCATCCAGCTAATTAAAAAACAAACTAAATTGAAGAGCATTGTTAGTGACGGATTGGCATGTGACAAGATGAACAAATTCACAGCTACTAAATTTTAGGAATTACTATGTGATCAGGAAATTACTCTTAATTTGAAAGACTGATATAATTGAAAGCAGTAGATTTCTGTTATGAATAAAGAAATATTTAAGGCCTCATTTTGAAATTGCGTAAATAAATGAATAATTGTTTGAATAAATAATTCCTTTAACGAAGAGAGCGTAACAAAAAGAACGCAAAGATGATAATTACTCATTGTATTATTCACAAGGGAAAGAAAAAAACGCAGAAGAAATGAAACCATTGTTATTTTCCCATGAAGGAAAATAAGATGAAAAGTGCTCAAAAGAAATTGAATAGGCTGTCATTCTATCACCCTGGAGAACAACATGGGAACTTAGTTACTTAATTTTATCGTCTAAGTAACCAGCCGCACAGCGCATCGAGCTGCAGAAGTTCTAATAGTTAATAACTATAATAATAGGTACAGAAAAATAATGATAAAATATATTTGAAAGGTTGCGGGGGAGCGTGGGACAAATAAAAGCATCTTAGCTCCCATGGGGAATTCAACGTCAAACCTGCAGATTTCGCGCTCTGATGTTCTACCACTGAGCCACAGAGAAAATAGAATAAGCTACACCATTACAAGGTCCACGAGTGACGTGTGTCCTGCATACAGCCTAAGTAAACCAATATCGAAAGTGTCATAAGTGTGACCAGAATAAGACAGAGACAGGACGTGTGAATATTTCCTCTATCACTTTGCCGAGTTCACTATTTACCATCTTTCCTATTTGAAAGGTTGTTCAAAGTTCTTAGTCAACCCATAGTTAGTAGAGTTAGTAGAGGAGTGGAGTTAGTAGAGGTCTCCTCTACTAACTATGGTCAACCCTAGAAAGAGCAATTTACCGCCCGAACCAAGGACCAGTTTAAGATAAATCCACTCACTTAGTTGCCTTTTCTAAGACAGCGCATTAACATGTGGAACAGGCGCCAATATTTTGTGTTTTTAAGGCGACAGAGGAAAGTACGTGGCGAGCGTTAATAAGAAAACGCGAGGTGTGAGACTTTAGCAAGCGGAGAAAAACAAACAAACAAAAAAGTCCACTTGCAGGTGTCCGCCCCACGCGCTTTCATTCATTAATTGGCGCCTGGATAGTGCCATTGCGAGCTCATAAAGACACGTTCAGTTAATTGAGACTTATTACCTGGCAAATAAAAGAACCCTCGTCTGTGCTCTGTTCTGTTGTAAAGCACGCAGAAAGCGGCTGGAGCACGAAAGAAATGTAGGGAGAAACACGTAACGTATTGAAATATTTTCCTTACTTCTTACCTGTGTAATTTTGTCTTCTTAGGGAGCCTGATTCTCTTTTTCCATTTTGTTTTATTTTCATAGTCATTTTTCTAGTCATACAGGTTGAAATCCAAGTAAGACATACCTTCGTTGGTCAGTGTGTTCTTGGTGCAATTTTTTAATACTTAGAACAAAGAAATAAGCACTGATGAATAGTCGGGACAGGTAATATTTTATATCGCTGATGTTCATTTCGAGCCCCCTCAAATTCTCCTTGGATACTATAACCAACAAACAGACCAGAAGATTGCAACTGAAAAGGCTACAGTTTGGAGGCTGTGATCATGTTTGTGGTATTAGTGTACAGTTATACAATGTTTGATGAACTAATGCGCTTGCCGGACGAAGTCAGGAAAAAAAATCGACTGAGATAGGGAGACACCTTCGGGGGCTAGGTAACGAAAGAAAAAGCAAGAACGCATCCTGAAAGCTGGGGTTCTTCTCGGTGTAAGAACTTAAAAAGTTTCTCTATATTATGTCGCTATTCTGTTCCTAGGATCTCTTTTTTTACATTCTTTGTTTTCCTTCTACGTCACTTCCGATGTCGCAAATATTTCTACCCCACTCCCCTCCCCCTAAGTATCACTTTATAAACCGTTTCCAATTTCTATTTGCTCCCTATATATATGGATTTTCAGTGTAACATTGTCTGAAAAGGCCGCAGAATGTCCCAACGTCTCTACGCTGGCGGAAATACTTGTATTTCCTGGGTTCTCGATACGAAGACTTTTGTGTTCGGAACGGCCGGGTGAGAGCGGGGTTTTAATTTGAGCTGCAGAGTGACATCATCCTCCAGTTTTGGCCAATAATGTTGGCACATTGTCGTCACGTGCCTTGTAGACCAAAACAAAAACGTGCGAGAATAGTTCGCGGCAGAAGAGTTGGACCGCTGTTTAGTTTTTGTAAACACTGCTTATTCCTGAAGATTATAGTCTGTACTGCTACCATAAAGAGCACAAAAGCATGGGTCGAATATTTCTTGCTCATCCTGGAGGAGCTAGACTTTATTCTTGCGCGAACTGCGACACTGCTTTGACGAATCGATCTCAACTAACATCTATGGTAAGCGTAGCTACGAATAGTGACAGGAAAAAAATAAACATTAAGATTGATGTTTTCGATTTATCATCTTGTAAGTTTCACAAGGAGAATATCTTTCTTCAAGGACTATCGCTGTTGAGTTACAAACTAGATTTGAGGTACAATAGAGTACCTTCTTTACGTGATGCTTTACTTTTCCGTTCAATACTTGTCGCTCGAGGAATTAAGAAATTCGCTTTCAACATTGTAATGAAATTTATTTGTATTATATTGGCTTTGTGTACTCTCTTATGAGGAATAGTGGCATTTCATTGGCTGTTACGTAAAGTAATTTAAATTTTTTGGTGGCTGGTTTGCACGCAATGAAAAGTTTTGGAAAGAATTGAACCTTCCGCATTGAACCTGGTGCGCTCAGTGGAACTATTATCAACCTAGCTAACACTCATGTTTGTGTTTCGGATAACAGAACATTTGAAAGTCACTGTTTTGTTCCCTTTATGCCTTTATTTCTTCATTTATATCAACTGCTGAGATGAATTAATAATGTATAACTCAAGATTAGCGGGGCTATTTAATAACAATTTTTAAAAAATTGCCCTTAAAGATATGTCGTCCATTTTTTCCTTTACATTTTGATGTTAATAATAACCATAACATTTGAAACGGTTTGCTAGCAAGTAGCAATTTATTCAGAAGCCACTCACCTCTCTCCAATTACAGATTTCTCTTATCTCTTATTTTTTTCAATGCTGCATTAAATACTACTAGCTACGCTATTCGCTTTTTATTCCATGATAGGTCATCATTACAGCGAGTAGTCTAACTGTGTGTGGTTGTAAACAAAATAAAATACAAACATGAGCCAGCCAGTTTTGAACTACTTATAAAATCATTAGATTATTCCCTCCCTCAGATGTTGCTTTCATGAATTATCAGGTAGTCAAAATCTGGAGCTCAAGATCTGGTCATTAAACAACTGAATACCATTGGAATTTTCATTTGTGTTTTATTTACTATATTAGTTTTAGGATTAGCTAAGTAGTCCCAAACAGACAGTCTACTGTATTCAAAATTGTTCTCCATAAGTACAGGATGAAATGTCATTCCGCAGATAGAAATTAGTTACTTTTGTTGACACATAATCTTCCAGCAATTTCTCTGGAAGAGAATCACTCTTGCCTTGATTGTTTTACTTCAGAGTTTTAATTGATTGAAAAAACACTTAATTTGTTTCATTGTCTTGTAAATACCAATAGAAATTTACAGGGGCTACTGGAAGAGCATTCCTCTTCAAGAAAGTGTAAGTGTTCTTGATTGTCCTTTTGTTTACAAATTAATGATACCATAATTCATATAAAAACACTTTTTGAATACTTAACCAATTATCAGTTTAGCCCTGTATCAAGGCAAAGACCTTACAGAGAAACTGTTTTTCCTTAAGCTCCATGTTGATAGATCAGTGACAGGAAATATAATTTATTGTAACCTAATGTCTATCCATACCTTGTGGTAATGGTTACCCAAATTAAAGGTTACTGACTCAGGAGGATACCTAAAAAAAATGGCAACCCAACAGTCTTGTCCCCAAAAGTCTGCTTACATTCACTCCAAATATAACAGGAACCTCTGGCCTTTTGAGTCAACAGCACTAATTTCAGATTACTTTTATGATCCTAGGGTGAATTTGTCCTACAGTGAAGTTCAAGACAGAGTAATGGTAGGCTAATTCAGATTTTTCTGTTAGTGTATTCTGATACCTCAAGCAGCAAGGTACAAACTGGACAGGAGCAGGCAGATTAGCCCAGAACAGAGTGCGATGGCAAGGGGTCGTCGATGGCCTATGCTCCACACGGAGCCACCGGCCTTAGTAGTAGTAGTATATTCTGATCCCTAAAGGCTGATCAAAAGCCCAATCTATTAACTTTTTGAACCATGATTTGACTCACACTCTGACTGAACCTTTACATGTTTGTTTTTATAGCTTACTGGAAGGCACATGGTCCGAGATGTTTTTTGCAAGAACTGTGATACAAAACTGGGGTGGATGTATGTAAGTGACAGTCACTGTTAGCTTTATGTCTGTTTACAAATGTTGTTCAGCTGATATCTATGTAACTACGAAAAAAATCAGAAAGGAGTGAGCAAATGAATGCACTACTAGGTATCTGGAAGGATATTATATACTTTGAAATTGTTTTCAAACAACTACTGTGTACTTAACTGTATATGTATCTTTTGTACCATTCTCTCTATGATTTCAGGAATATGCAACAGAAGAGAGCCAGCAGTACAAGGTTAGTTTTATTTTCATATTCACTTTTGCATGATCACGGATACTTGGTTAAAATGTTGTAGATGCATAACTTAGTAATACATGTTGAAAGAGGAACATTTTGTACTTTCAGGAAGGTCAAGTTATTCTGGAGCGAGCACTGGTGACTGAGAGTGAAGGAATTGAAGAAATTGGTGACTAGTTGCATTCTGATGTGTTTAAAAAACAGTTAAAGGGTGAGAATCATTATGGGCATTTATGAAGCCAAGGTAGTAAATAGACAAATTTCTTGAGAAAAAGTAATGTCAGATTGTTATACAGTTTGATTTTATATCATAGAAAAAGTTGTAGTTTTTCATAATGATTAGATACAGTAGCTAACTGTGATTATTCAAAATGGTGAAGTACAACAATGATGAACTGTTTCCTTGAATCTCATGATACAGTCACTTCCAATGTGAACCACAACATACGATGACACCCTCACTGTGATTGTTTGGTTGTCATATGATTTGAATTGATTGTATCATGAAAAATAAAACCAAACAAAATATATTTTCATTTTATTACACTTCAGTGATACCTCAAAGATGAATAATTTTGTTCTTTGAACTCTAAAATCAATTTTGCATTATTGAGCTTCTGTTGTTGGTATCTTAATTAACTGGACACTGCCCCTTCCCACTCTTCAACACAATTGTAACATAGTGTGTGCCATTAAAAAGATTGTAAATATCTTAGATAACATTGCTGTCGGGTTTAATAAGCACTTGTATGTATAGTTTGTACAGAGCAAAGTAAAAAAAACTAGGTTACAAGAGAAGCTTTATTCATACTAAGTTCTAATCTCTATTTAAACTATGAATCATAATTTAGCATTGCTAATTAAATGCAATTCAAAGTATTCAAAGTATTTAATAAAGAAGTTAGTAATTTTTAGGCTTCTTCATGTGAGATTTACCTAATACTTATGTTAGGCTGTCTCTTTGCATTAATTCTCACACATTTTATTTGTGTTGAACAGCACTGTAATACAAGCCTTTTACATTTGTGGTTCACCTTAATTTAAACAAGAGTGATCAGTGTCTGATCATTCTTCAAATGACTATTGATAATTATAAATCAGCTAGTGCTGGAAATTGCAATGACCCCAATGTCTACACAAATGGTTAAATAGTATGATGAATTCAAGTTTTTGAATGTCTCATTACTGAATATTGTGGAAGAGCTGTTGTGTCCAGCCTGAATTTTTCAGTTCAACACTTTTCAGTAAAGCATTTTGACAGAACCACTTTTACCAAAATTTCAACTTTACCTCTTAAAAACAATAGTTTTTTCCAGCACTGGTCATGTCTAATTATAGGGGTTGTGCCTATTGCTTAGGATTAAGTGCAAGGTGATCACCATTGATTGACTTAAAACTATTTATGGAATAATTTACCATTCAAAACTTTTGCAAAAATGTAGGGATTGAACAACCAGAAACTAAAAGTGTGATGCTTTGTGGACATTCCCTTAGAGATACCTTTCGAGTCTCTGATGATTATCTCCTCATGACCATCAAATTTGATATGCATGTTTAATGAAAATTTTGACAAATCTTTTGCACATTGCAAGGGTACAACTGAGTCTGAATCTTGCCATTTTCTCAGATCTTTCACTGGCATCAGTTTATCTCATAAAATTATTCGCAGCAATTTTTTATGTGTCAAGATGGCCTTTTGTAGGTGTACTTATTAAAGAGATGTATTAACAAATACATTGAAATAAAATGGATTTATGGAATTTGTTTCTGTTGTTAGTGATTTGTTCTCTCAGACTGAGAACATGAAAAAACTGGAAGAAGAAAACCGTAACAATGCTTGGCCTAGAGATATTTCCTCTCAACTAGTACAAGGAAACAGGAGGAAATCATTGTCTATTTTGTACAAAAAGAGAATGTATCAGGATTTTTCTTTTTGACTTAGCTATTTAATCTCACATACCATGGTTTGTAACAAAAATACCATAATCTAAGCCAAGCGGATTGAATTGGAAAAAATACATTTACCACTTGTCATTATTATAAAACTGTGATGATGGCGCACTGCAAATATTCATCAGCCTTTGGAAGTTCCTCGAAGACGAACGTACTTGGACGCAACCGGAAACAAAACGTGCACCGGAAGAACCGGAAGTTCAGTCCAAGTGACAAAAACAATCGCAGACCAATCAGCGTTCGGGATATAAGCTTAAACCCACCAGCTCTTTAATGTCACGTGAATTGCGAACCATAACAAAGCAGTGCAAGGTTCGTAGTTAAAGGACTTCTTCCGTAGCCTTGGCCGGGTGTTTGTGTCTATATATCGTTCGATTCTAAGACCTACTCTCAGAAAGAATACACAAAAACATGGGTCGTATATTTCTCAATCACCCCGGCGGGATCACTTTGTATTCTTGTGCGAACTGCGATACAGCTTTGACGAACAGATCGGAGTTAACATCAATGGTACGTACGCGACTAATAAATACTGGCTTCTTGGCTTTCACCTTGGGTTGATTTTTACACAGATCGAATATAAATTGGAGGAAGACTGGCATACTTCGTTTTAACATGTCATTCTTGAATTTTGTTTTGTTTTGGAGATCCGTTGCGCAAATTACCCACGTCTGATCTCGCTTTTTGCGTCAGATCGAAAATTCAGTATCATTTAAATGTGAACTTTCCCCAACAATCAGTTACCTTGTGAACGATACCAAAGTGCTGTTGATAATTCCTTTTCGCCTAGTCTTCACGATGATTTTTCCCAAGTTACTATCAATCATGCTTCGACTTTGGAAATTTTGTGAGTTTCGGAATGATTGAAATTGAAAATTTACTCTATGCTATTTTCAGCTGTTAAAGTGTCAATTTCGTCAGATAATTCTGACTGGAAATAATATTTCCGATTAAAACCACAGTCCTGCATTCCCTTCGCAGATTATTTAACATTAATTTGTTTTTGTTTCCGTTTGAATCATTAACCCTCTAATCAGAGATTCAATGGAGCTACTGGAAGGGCGTTTTTGTTCAAGAAAGTGTGAGTGTCGTTTTTTTTCTTTTTTTTTTTATCATTACTGTTTTTTTCCATTATCATCGTCATCGTCGACATTGTTGAAATTTAAGTCCAAAGCAAGTAGTATCAATTGGACATCATCACGTTACAATATTATTCCATCGATTTAAAAAATAATTATCCGTTTAATCAATCCTTATATCATTTTTACTATTAAAAGTATAATGAATGTTGACAATCAGACATAGTTTGATGCTACTCTGGTTTACAGATTTAATGAATGTAACCAAAGAAGTTACAATTCACAGACCCAACATTTTGACACTCCTGTCTAGTGCCTTCATCAGGGGTGATCTAAACGCTACAACAAGAGGTCCTTTTAGACAATCACTAATTAGCTGCCTTTAAAAAAAAAAAAAAAAGGCAGCTGATTAGAGATCATATAAAAGGACCTCTTGTTGCAGCATTTAGATCACCCCTGATGAAGGCACTAGACAGGAGTATCAAAACGTTGGGTCTATGAATTGAAACTTCTTCGGTTACATTCATTAAATCTGTAAACCAGAGTAGCATCAAACCATGTCTGATTGTCCACCTGTTTGCCATGTGAACTTTAATGTATTGAATGGTGAAAATATTACCATTTATTACTGTTATAGCTGAGTGTTTTTTAACTTACTGTTGACTCATTTTTGTTCAAGTCTTTTATTGGATAGTGAATGAATATAAATTTTGCAACTGTCTATGACTGAGAAAAAGCCAAAGCTAAACAGATTTCCTCTGTCTTACAGGGTTAATTTAACATTCAGCAATGTTCAAGATAGAGTAATGGTATGTTATTACTTTATGGTGGTATATATTACTGGTTTAATTAACTCTTAAGCTCCCATGATCTGATAGTTAATTCTCCCCTCCAGGTGCTACACATTTCCTTGTAAATTAGTAATAAGAATTCAGTATTAAATCAAGTCAACAAATTCTACCCAGTGAGTTTGGGTATTCTCTTAATGTGTTTGCTGGAAAATGTATGGATGTTATTGGGGGGAAGTTACATTTTAATAACTATTGGAAGTTAAAGTGTTAAAATTGATTCCAAGGGTGCAGGGTCAAGGTTTTCCATCAAGGAGCTTCTGTATTAAGGAGGCAAGTTATATAAGTGGGACCATAGGTTATAAGGGCCACCTTGTTTAACTAGGAAAAATAACAATTTATGACAATAGAACAACAAGCCATTGCCTAAATTCCAGTCACATACAACTTAAAAACCTCCTAGCTATGCCTGTGGAATCGTTTCTTTGCAATCTGAAGCTTATAGCTTGCATCTGTAGCAATGTATACTTAATTTGAAATTTCAGTTTCTATTTGCTGTAAGTTTACTTAAGTACAAATTCTTTCTGCAGCTTACTGGAAGGCACATGGTCAGAGATGTCTTCTGTAAGAACTGCGACTCAAAACTTGGCTGGATGTATGTAAGTGTTCGGGAGCACTCCATGTTTTTTTTTGTTTTCGTCTTTTTCTATCATCACATCTTTGGGAAACAAAACTAAAGGACTTTTTAGAATGAGAAAATCATTTGCCTACAGGATAGTTTCAAATATCTTTGGGAAATAAATTGATTAACTGATTAAATGTAATACTGGTCTGTAACATGAACATGTGAGTGTGTAGGACACTTTTATTGCAATAATCAATAATTATTATTCAGATACTCAGTCACTGTAGCTTAAGTCAAACCAGTAGATTCAGGAAGTTGTTGTTGTTATCTATTTTAACTCATGTTTATCATCTCAGGAATATGCAACAGAGGAGAGCCAACAATACAAGGTACAATTAATGTTACTAAATCTAAAGTTATTAGACTTCAGGATTCGATCATTCCCTACCCAACCTACCCTTTACTTAACAGGTTCAACCAGTTCAGTGCCCAGTGTTTTCTTAACAGTCGTAGGACCATGGAGGGAAAGCAAATGCATGGTTTGGCATGGCCAGAATGAACTGGGCTGAGACACATCTAACATGAGACACACCCTGCCTCATCTGGGTCTCTTCTCAGTCTCTTCTCAGTCTCTACTTTCCCAAAGTTTTTGCTCCATAATCGGGGCATGGGCCCTACCCCTTACTTAACCATTTATGCTCCATTTAGTTATCTTACATTCTTTTTCAGTTGTAAAGCTTAGAAGTGTGGGGGCTCCTTCATGCAAAATTAGGAAATTCTTTTGATGTTATCATGGAAATGCATAACAAATGAAACTGATCTTAATTTTTCTATATTCTGTTGTGCAATTACTGTAGGAGGGCCAAGTTATTCTGGAGCGGGCTTTGGTGACTGAAAGTGAAGGAATTGAAGAAATTGGTGACTTTGATCACTAGCATTTCAGTTTGTTAACTTTTGAGTTTCAGTGATGAAAGCTGTTGTACATAAAATATTATGAAATATTTAAAGTGATACTTTGGGCAAAGTAGGGAACTTTCAGAAATAAGATATTCCATCATTTGAATATTTAGACATTTGATTTTGAAATAAGGGTAAGGGCAACTCTGAACTACTTGTTTCCCATGTTTAGGAGTACAGCTTTAACAACAATTATCTGATCTGTTCATTGTTATTCAAATTATTATCAATGTTTCAGCTGCTTAAATTTTAGTAATTACGAGTTGCAAATTCTCCTGTACATAAAGTTTATACTGTATATATTGCATATACCAAATACCGATTGGCAAATTTTAATATATTTCACCATTGAGCATAAAGTAACAGCTTTTCCATATTAAGTAACATCAACATGGAACAAAATTTTGCATAATATAATGTGAACAATTGTACTTTGTCTCTGTATCAGGGATAAGTAAGGCAAATGAAAGTGTTTTTTCTGATTTATTGGTTTCCAAGACTGTTCTTGTTTTAACCTACAAAATCATTGTAATTTCACTCATTACAGAAATGGGATAAGAGCTGGTGGGAGAGGCTAGATTAATGGCATCTCAAGTTAATCTGTGAATTATTATTGGTGATTGTATTTAGACTATTAGGAACTAAGTTGTAAATTGGCAGAGTATGAGCAGAATCACTGACACCTAATGAGGAACATTTTGGGCATTAGGAAACTTCTGAGCATTTTGAATTTTGCTTCAGTAAAAACTGATATTTACATTAAAAGGGTCATTCCAACATTCAGTTAATTTCAATCCTTCCCAATTTTGTTGATCTACACATTTGTTGGGACCTGCTGCATCTAACGAGTTTTCCAAATATTTTCAGCTGTTTTTGATTCACCTTTGCAGCAATACTTTGGACTTTTGAACAATGCACCCCTATCTGATCTCTGTTGTTGTAATCAAGTTTGTTACCAGGTTTGAATCATTAAAGGTGTTGAACTTGTTCAACTTTGAGCAGATTGCAGGATTTTGAACTCAGGTAAGGGCTTCACAACCTACAAGTTTTAGTCACTTTGTTGGGTAAGATGTTAAATCAAGAATCTGCTTTAATCAGTATGGTATATGCAATACATCCATGGATTTTTCTTTTCAGGGTTTCTTCTTAAAACCTACTACCAGTACCTTCCCATTCATGTCCCCTCTGTCTGTTAGACAGTCCTTGTTGCACGTACCTAGAGTACCAACAAATTTCCATGTTCATACTTTTCTTTCAGGGTGGTTGACTAGTTTGGACTTCATTGATACTGTTAACATTTCAAGGCCCTCAGAAAATTATTAATTTTTCATGGCTTCAGAGGAAGCTTTAAGAGATGAGGGCTCACTAAAGATTCTTCGAGAGCCAAAATGAGGACAGTTTTGTTTTTTCTGAACGAACACTCCACTAAATTGAATATTGTATACAGTAAGCATTTCCTTGGTTGGAAACCAAACAACATCATATCAGGATTTTTAAAGCATTAGCACTTTCCCTGTTTTTCATTCTATAATTTTTGTCGAGGGGAAGGGGTGCAGGGGAAAGATTAAAGAAGAAGGAGCCTTTTAGAAACTCAAGGCTCTAGGCAAACAGCATAGCCTATTAATAAGAGTGTTTATAGTATTTGTAAATATCAGTCATTACATCAAACTGTCTCCCTGTTTTTTCTCTTTATTTGTTTTTTTTTTCTGAGGTTTTCAGTTTTTATTTGTTACTCATTAGTGAAGCATAAGTGTACAAGCACAACTACAGCCATCACATACTGCAATTCCAATAGAAGCTTATTTAGGTTCAAAGAATGATAATAATGAGAACTCATTAATTTTCTAATCTTTTTGTCTTTGTGTTGTATTTTTCTCAATTTTTTTTCTTAGTTTTCAATGTGAATTTCCTGATTTTTTTAAAATTTTCATTTGTTTTTACTGGTCTTTCAACCTGCAACTTCAGTTTAATAAAAAATGGTGTCTATTGAAGGAGACAATTTTTTCTTCCAATTATAAAGAGATTTTCTTTAAGTATGTAATTCTGCCAGATTTCAACAATACTGAATTATATACAGAAAGAAAGGAAAAGTTGTTCATCAAAAGGAAAAATTGAAACGGTGCCCACTACAATTTGAAAACAAGGAGTTTCCTTAAGCCCAACAAGAACTTGCTAAACTGTCCAGACAAGACCTAACCAAACCTTGACCTCAACCAAAATTGAAAGGTTCTCCACACTAGGGTAACGCAATTTTTTTTTTTTTTCAACAAAAATTTAACATTCAAGACCTGCAATTCTCTTCATTCATGTAACATCAAATGTAACAAGAAATAGCTTTGACTAACATGTTATCCAGATATCTTAAATTACTGTCAATATGCAACATTCTTATCTCTTGCAAAAAAGAGGCATCTTTATGATAAAGAATACTACATCATTCCTGTATTTTCTAGAGAGACATGTCCTTCTTGTACAGATAATAGTACTAGTTAGTCTTTCCAATCTCAATGTAGTCAAAAATGTGGGGAAAGTGATTTGTTTCCTTCAGTAAATCACAACTGAATTGTCCGATACTATTGTATCAATTATTTAGCAGAACTAATAATTATTTAAATTGGAGTTAGAAAAGTCTTTTGTTATGATCATTGCCATAAGCAACATATAAAAGCTATAAATAAGATAAAAATTGTTCATTTGCTCCAACTTTTTGAGTTCATTATTCTTCTCAAATGCTACTATTGGCCGTTACTTGAACTGCTGGCATCCTCAGGTTTCATAGTACTTCAAATGAAGGCACAATGCACCTTTCTTTGCAGCTTGTCTTGTGCTTTCTTTGACCAGTAAAGGATATAGCACTGATAAATTCTTCATGGTTGCCAGACAACAGTCACTGTGGACAATTTCAAGATGCACTGTATACAGCCAACATTAGCCCAGGCTTCCCTCAAATTCTGCCATTATGTCACTCTGTTGATTCATGTCAATTGTTCCAGCCAGCTGTTCATATCAAACAAAAAGCATGTATGAGATTTGTGTTTAGGGGCAATGCCTCTTCTCCAAACAACAACAACAACAACAAAAAGAAAAATTAAGTGGCAGTGAGACCTAGGGAAGTTTATATAACCAGTCTGAAATTTGCAGCATTTAAACCTAACTGAGAAGAAAATACTTTAAAAATTGTTTATTCATGAAAAGTAATTCTTAACAGTGGGTGTAATCATTTAAGAGCAGTGGAATGGAGAAGGCAAAAATGGACACTTATTACACTTTGAATCAGAAGGAAGAGCTGGGTTAATGCATCTTATCAAGAGCTATCTATGACAAAGACACGACTTTTGGGATGATACTTACAGCTTCCCTTCTTCGTCGTTCAGCCTCTCTCATGCGTTCTATCTTCATCTTTTGGGCATTTTTAGCTTGTTCTTGTTCCTTATTTAGCCTTGCTTTTTCTAAAGCTTCATCTTCTTCCTTTTCCCTGAAAATAAAACAAAGTGTACAATTACATTTGGACCAAGAGCACAAAGGAAGTTAAAGAAGGTCAAAAAAGTTTCCATAGCAGGATCTTTAACTGACCCAAAAAAAAAAAAAAAACAGAAAAGCTACCTTTTTCTTTCCTCAGCTTGCCGTAGTTTTTCAAGCTCCACTCTTTCTCTCTGTTGACGTCTCTGTTCCTCTTCAGCTCTAAAGTTTTTCTCCTATTGAATGGTTAGACAACAACTTGTAAAAATACAGTTTGAATCATAGCTTCACCACAGGTCATACTAGCAAAATATTCTCGAGCATTTAATCAACACTACCAAGAGAAACCTTCAAAGAACATAAAATGAAATTGTTTAAGAATAAAATCATTCTTGTTTAAACAGTTTAAATGTCTCGCATACCCGTTCTTCCTTGTCTCTAGCTTGTTGTTTAAATTTTTCAAAGCTGCTTGCAGATGACAGTGTTCGAGATCCTCCTGAAGTTGTGTTGCTCAAGGTGGACCAAGAAGTTACCTGGCGTATGGGTTTGGGCGCTGAATCCTGCAGGACAAGGAAATTTATTATGTAAAGTAGCAACACTAAATTTTTATTACCTGAAATTCAGTAATTTCTATGTTCTTATGACTCTTAGTTTGGTAAGAAAAATTTCTGCAGAAAAAATCATCAACAAGTCTATGTGAAGTACTGGTATCTCTCACAGCTACCATGCAGAAAAATGAAAGGCATCTCATAGACCTATGGAGGTCATTGTAAGGAAAACAAGGTTGAAGGGCAGAGGCAAAGTTATGAAGTGAGGACAAACCAACCTTCTTCGTTGATTGATTTTCATTCTTTTGCCCTGAAAATGAGAACAAATTATATCAATTACAGTACTTGGCATTTCAATGTTTAACAAACAATTGGAATTCATTAGAAAGAACTGTCATTTCCAAACTTACCTATGGATGCAAGTGAACCTGGTAACTCTCCAACAGTAAATGTTAGTCCGCTACTCCCTGTAAATGAAAGAAAAACCGTAAGACAGGAATCTAACCATGGTTAAATGAAATGACCTGTTCAGTACTTCAGGTAAACAAGGGAACATTAATAGCCTGGAGTTATGACCAGAACATTCAAAATTTAGACAGCTGCTTTGGGTCATCCTGAAGTGTTACCCAACAAGAGTGACTTCAGGATGACTTCTGTTGGTTACAGTCAAATCAATAGGATGAGGTCCTTTACCTGTATAACATGACCCCAAGAACTGAGGGAATTTGGGACCAAAGAGGGTAGTTTATATGCTGCCATAACTAATTTCTATAATTCTGAAACTCATTTAAGGAGAAAGGAGTTTGGATATCTTGCCAAAAGTAAAGGTTAAATTGAGGACAGCACCTGGTCGTGAAGTTGACGGCAAACTTTTTTCTGCCACAGGGGTAGGTGGTTTTTCTTTGAGGACTGCTGTGGGTGTGGTGTTGGTAGGTGCCAATGGTGTTGATGGCTTTGTCATAGCCGTAGTTCTTGCAAATGAAGAGACAACTTGTTTTGGAGCTGTGGTACTTGTTGAGGTAGGCTTCTGTACTGTAGATACAACTGGTTTTGCTGTGGACTTTGGTACAACTGGTGGAATACTGGGAGGGACTGGTCTAACAGGTTTAGGTGGTGCTACAGTTGCCAGCGGGGGGTTGCTTGTTACTGTTGTAGGCAGGGGAGTTGTGGACACAGCAGTAATAATAGCAGGTTTATCTTGAGGCTTAGGTGCTGGAGTAGACTTGGAGACTGGTGCAACTAAAGCAATGGTAAGAAATACACTTAAGCCTTCCAAGCTTAATATCTCTATCCCTTTATCAACCCAGAAGGGATTAAGGTTTTATTTCTCCTTAAAGAGGAACTTAGGGTGCTAAGCAATAGTCAGAAATGGCTTGAAAGACTGCAGGATCAGTCAAGTCTCCATTCTAACAAGCCAGTTCTGTTTAAAGGTTAGCATCCTTAGTAAAGGAATTTCGAGTGTCAAGCAGACAGATGACGATTCAAAAAAAGGAGGCAATTCTGATGGTCAATTCTGTGATCAAAACCATAGACAAAAAAAATTGTGCATTGATCAATCCTTAAGTTTCAGGCTGTCTAGGGTACCTGAGCCAACCAGTTTTTACTCTTGTGAAAGAGGAAAGAAAGATGGTCACTACAAGCTTTTTTTCTTGTGAGGTTGTGTGGTGTTTCTAAATTGTCACCAGGAAACAACAAATCAAAGTAACTACGTAGAAGCCATAGTTGCAGCTTATTTTCATTCCAGAATGAGATTCAATACAATCCTTTAAGGGCAGATTTTGTCCCTTCGAAAAATAATAATAAATGGATGTTCAAATAAATTTGGTTAAGAAATTTCTCTTTGAGTTAAGCACTAATCAAAACAGCACATAAATGAGCAAAAAAGTCTATTGCATCAATTTACTCAAACCATCATTAATTTCTAAAGCAATGATTTGAAAATGGTAACTTGATGTCACAAAGGTATCCTGGTTTTTTTCAATATTTTTTTTCTTAAGATGAAAAAAGGAAGCTTTTAGGTTATTTTGTCAACAGTGTTGCTAACAACTGAGCAATTGGTTTAAAATGAAAGCTTTTCACCTGCAATCTATATTTCTGGCACCAAAAGCACCAAGGTTTCAAAAATAAAAGTGAAATTTGGTCCAATTCTTCAACCTTTTCAGTTTGTAGAGAGGAAAGGGAAAACTAATGAGAAAGAGTGTCATGATTTATCCTCATTTTCACATGCAGAGAAGTTATCATAGGTGACATATCAATGTATTCAGAAATGGAAATGTAAAAATGATGATGTGATTTGAATTCAAATTTGAAAAAGACCAAAAAATGGATTGAAAAAAATTACATTTGTCTTGCTTGATGAAAGAAGCAATTCAGTATGCCCACATAAAAGAAGTGGATCGAGTTTAAAATTTAAAACAGATGTTTGAGTACTGAACAATGTTGATTTTTGTTAGGAGCCCTAAGCAAAAAAAAGCTGCTTCAATTTAACTATTATGTTAATTTATCCCTGAATATACAAAAATTAAGATATGGCTTTGTTTCAATTTCATATTTGCTTATTTACCCAAAAACAATGTTCATAATAACCATCTGAGCAAATTTCTTGCCTCTTCAAAACCTTTGTGTATTGCTTCTTTAAACATAATGTATCAAGTATGTGGTTCACTTTTTCAACAAGCCAGTGCAGCAGTTTCTAAGGAAAACAACCAATTGCTGTGTAAAGAAATGGACCACTCTAAAGTTCTTTCAATGGCCTTGAACCCAAGTTTTTCATGTTTACTGAAGCAAGACAGCTGAGAAAGCAAGGATTGGCAGGGAAAAACTGTCTGTGGTATACACAACTGGGAAATTGTAATTCACCACGCATCAAAAGAACAATTAAAAAATGATTTCAATCTTCTGAGTAACAGGCTTCAGTTGAATTGAAGGAACTCAACATAATTTGAACTGAAACTAGCTAAACTACTCAGTCCCTCTTGTTGGTAAAAAATTGCTGTGAATATAGTCAAGTACAAAATACTCTCTTTAATTTCAATTTTACAAGGTAAAATTGGACTCGATGTTCAGGCTCTTCAAACAAACAAATAAACACACAGAAATTCTCTAACATGCAACAAAGAAAAGGAGAAAATGATATGGGGAATAAAGGAAAGAACTGACAGCCTGGCAGAATGAAAGCCTGATTTAGTTTCTAAGACAAGACCAGATTGTCTATGGTTATCTTTTTCCTATTTGACAATAGCAAAGAGCTAGCAAGGAAACACATTTGGTTCTGGCAATTCTTGTGTTTTGTGTTTGTATGTGGGTATTTTATTAGCACAACCTAATTGATGACAAAGCTTCAAATTGACTGGATTGCACACAATTCAGTTTTCTTGTAATTACCATTTATGCATAAATGGCAATACATTGGAAACATTATCATCATCTTTCTGCTTGATGGTGAGAATAAAGGGTTGAAACTCATTGGAGTGTAAATATTCAAAATCGCAATCTTTATCCACTAGGAAAGTCCCAATTCAAGCCTGATTCCCCAAAGGTGTAAAAAACTAACTTGTAATTGCTCTCAGAGGTAAACAGTTGCTCAAGACTTGGGTGAGAGTAAAGGAGGGAACGAACATGATTATGATGACATTTTTATGTCAAAAATAATGTGAACTTTGACAGACAGGGATAAATGAATACAAAAGTTTTCAATATTTTGATTTTTTTTAATAATTTATCATTAAATCACAGTTCCATTTCAAATCAACCATTTCTTTTGAATGGAAGCAGGAAGACTATACAAATTTGTCTTGGCTATTATGTTATTTCCAGGGGGGTTTAAACAAACAATGCGTACTCTAGTTTTGAAAAGAAACCGTTCTACAGGGATAGTTTTACACCTCAAAAGAAATGGTGGATTGAAGAGTTAAAATTGTAAAAGAGGGGATGTAGACATACCAGGCTGAGTCACATGACTTGTTACTGGTTTGGACGGCGTTGGTGTCGCCTTGGATGTATGACCAGTAGACTTGTTCTGGCAATGTCAGGAGGGAGAGAACGAGATCTGCCCCATTAGTATCAACAGGCAAGTCAAAGAAGACTAAAATCATGGCAGTATGTTTTAAGAATGAGGATATGAATGTGATTGTAAGCAGAGATGTGATGGTGTTTTAGCTTTGTGCAGTTATTAATCATTCCAGGCTCTTTGTCTTAACTGCTCAGACTTGATCTGACAATTATTTTGGTAGTGCATGCCTATTTCAGAACAGAACTCTGCTAACTGATTACAAAGCTCAAAAAAGAAAAAAAATAATAGGATGAGATCATAATTTCTCAATTTGTGTGCATGTCAAGGTCAATTGCAGAGTAGTAATGGTTGAGGAAGGGAAAGGTTTTTGTGAAATGGAGTGAATGAAATCATAAGTACCTTTCCAGTACTGTGAGAAGTCTTGTGGCCTTTACCACCAGACTCTGTGAACAAGAAACCAAATTAGATTCACCTGAGCATGGGATAGTGGTAACCTAAACTTGTCAAAGAGCAAAAGCAAACTTTACAAACAACAAACAATCCAAAAATTGTAAAATACAAATTTATTTTGTTGTATTGAGATGTTGGCAGAATGTGGAGAACAGTTACAAATGCACCGCTTTGCAGTCATTCAAACAAATCCCTAATTCTTTCTGCGGTACACAAGTCTTGACAGTCAGCTCTGAGTGCTGAAACGATGATGGGGATTGTCCATATCTTTGCTGATAATTATATTATGTTAAACTTGTGTCAGCAATTTTTTACAAATATACACAACAGTTGTGTTACTGGATGAAGGTGAATCTATCTACTGAGAACACAGAAACATTATATGAACTACAAATCAAGCAGCTCATAACCCAATTTAAAGCACCTGTGGATTATAATTTACACTATTTACACTAAAAAATAACATGGCCTGTGAATATACCATAACTTAGTATCCAGGCCATGATTAAAAGCAATCATAATTTTCCTTAACTTTACGACGCAACTACTTTTTGGTGTCATTTTAGGCGCAGTTTCTGCAAGTCTTTCTATTCTTCACTACCTGATTCTGAGTCAGAGCTGCTGGCTGAACTAGAAGACCCAGAGCTTGAACTTGAATCAGAACTACTGCTTGTTCCACTTCCACTACTACTGCTGCTTTCACTCAACCTTTTTGGCCGAGGTTCACTACCCACAACATCAACTACTGAGTTATCTGCCCGTTGTGATTCTGTCAAGATAATCAGAGGAGAATGTTATTCCTAGATCTGCACTGAAAGTGAAGTTACATCTAAAATCAAATTTTTAATTTGAAATTTTAATGCCTGAATTTTAAAATCACTCTAAAACTCTTCCCGATATGTCACTACATTCTAAGACTTCCTTTGAGTTTATGCGCTTATTTGATGGCAAAGCTATTTTGAGGATCAGTTTTCATGATATGGTTGCTGTTTCACTGATTGAAGGATTTTGATTCAAACATGAATTCATTGTGGGGAAACAAGAATGATAGGGCTACAATTCTGTTGTTTCATTTAGGAAAAAAAACCACTAGAAACAATTCTGTGCTTATTATTAAACTAGACAGTAATAGCAGACAAAACCCACCTTTCTTTGCCTGTTTCTTTTGCCCTGCACCTCCTAGCTTGCCACTTACGTCCTTGGTGAGGAAAAGGAGTCATGCTATCAGCCGAACCCCTTTTTTGCAGCTAGCACATGTAGCTTAAAACTATTTAAAGCTTATGTAAAATAATCATCTACATCTTAAGATAAGATAAAAGCAATGGATCCTTCTAACAGTATCACATGTACAAGCTGATATATTGGTTCTGTTACTACATACCTGAAGTCGTCTTTCAAGCTCTTCTTTCTTTTTTGCTTGCTCCATTTCTCTCTCTTCAGCATTTTTAGCTTTCTTTGTTGGAGGCTTCACTTTTTTTCTTAGGCACTGCTGTACATATTTTTCTAATTCTCTCAATGTCGAAGGTTTTAGAGTTTCAAAGTCTATTTCAATTTCATCTGGGTTTGAATCCCTTAAACCAGGTTCCCTGGACTGGATGATGTTCACAACTCTTCCCAACTTATCTCCTGATGGGAACAATAAGAAAAAGACTCATGGTTATTACCTTGTCACTAAGTAAAAGAAGTTACAACTGGTGCATGTTTAAAGAATATGAAAGACACAGGCATACTCAGAAAAAAAGAACTCCAAGTGCTATCATTAGGAGTCAATCCTATGACCTTTTGGTTAGTTCTAGCAATTGGTATAACACTAAGTTATAGCAGACTAGTGGCAGGCTAGGCCATTTAACCAGGTCCATGGTAACAAACTTCTAGCAAACTTCTAGGATAGGAATGCCAAATAACAAAGTCTTTCACTTAAATCATCAGGATTAAGATTCACTGTCTTCAATAACATCCTCAGAACTTGGGGTGATGTTAGATAGATAGCCTCATTAATTACCATAACTTGTCAAAGGCGCAGTGAATATTGTTGAATAATCCCAAGATGAAGTGGAAGAGATTATTTAACAATGTTCACTGAACCTGAGGAAAATAATTGAATTAGGATAATTGCTCAGGTGCTTTTGAATTCTGTTGTAAATGCTGTAAATAACAAAAGCATTGGGGCAGCCATTAAGAAATTTAGTGCCCCTGCTATAATAATCTCATGCAAGGTGATTATAGTGAGAAATAATGCAATCCTTAGCCAATCAGAGCATGCATATCTCTATAATCAACTGAGCAACAATACTAAAAGAGTTTAGTCACAAAAAGGTTTCACAGACTCAAATTAGTTTGTTGCTGCTGCCCATTTCTTAAGAGAAACAAGTGCTGTTGAGCAAGGAGAAATCTGTTGCAGAAACTTTTAAACAAGTGTACTAGCCATAAAATTAAGCTGTGTAGGCATTTCTTTGGTTAAAAAAAGTTTCAAATATATTTATTTTTACCAACCTGGAAGCTTGTTGATATCTAAGCTAAGCTGTCGTTTTTCATCATAGGTCATGGGTCTGGCAGTGTCTTCTTCATCATCTGTATCTATCTCCAAAGTTTTCTTTTTAGCAGCAATCCTTTTTTTAAAACCAAAAAGATTTATCTCAGCATTTAAAAAAAAAAAAAAAAAAAAAAAAAGGATCTGTGTTGGGTGACTTACTCAATCAGGACTGCAACATCACAGACCAACTTCTGACTTACTTGCTGTTTGCAGATCTTTTAGAAGCTGACTGCTTCTTAGCTGGCTTTTCTGGTTTTGGTTGGGCTGGTGTAACATTAGCAGCCTTGGCTGTTTTCTGCTTGGGTTTTGGTTGAGGCGCAGCCGGCGGTTTGGCTTCCTTTTTACTAGGTTTTTTCTCTGGCTTCTTCTTTGTCTTGTTTGTCATGAGAACAGACTCTCCAGTAAGTTTGCTTAGTTGCTCATGCACTGATATAAGCTGTTGGTAAAAAGCACAAATGTTTTTTTTATCATCATTATGCTTTTTTTGGTTCTGGGTCCAGAGGGGTGGATAATGCTATCCAACCAATTAATCACTGTCTAGCGGATAAGTGTTTGAGAAACCTGCTGCGCTATCAACTGCATTGGGATTTATCCAGTGAAAGCATTGTTCATCCTAAGAACAGTGATGGACAGGTGATTATGTTTTTGCCATTTTTTAAGCCACAATAATGTCATGATGACTTCTTAAAGGTTAATTATTCCAGGAAATGAAAGAAAAAAAAACTAGACTCTTCAAGAGGAGGAGAATGAACAGGCTATACCACAATAACTTCAGAAACTAATGGTTGCAAATATGAACATACCTGCTGTTGAAGCTGTGAGAGCTGCTCAGCTCTGTCTGCTTCATTGTCTTCAGAGGGTGGTGATGATGATGGCGGTGTTGCTGCAGACTCTGGTTCAGGATCTGTAGGCTCTGTAACAGGTGGAGGGGGAAGCTCTGGTTCCTCAGGCATTTTGGCAAACTTCATTTCAAAAACATCCTGTAAAGAAAGGAGTGACAATGTTTAAGTACTAATTTTGAAGGAATAAGTTGCCACCATTTAATGCATGCATAATTGCAAATTTTTGGGGGAGGGATGGGGTTATAACCTTTCTGAGGAAACCTCTTGCAGTAAAACTACTGAAAAAGATGAGAAACAGCCACGAAGAGTGTACAGTAGAACGAGGCACAACTGAACTTTGCTGGCCATGGTTTGACGTTAAAATGGTGTTGTTGCTGGAAACTGGCTTGACTTCTATCAGCAAGACTTCCCATTTGACAATTGGTGACAGGCAGCTCTTGCAATTTGGCTATCAATGGAAACAAGGAAGGTTGCCCCTGTGACAACACCATTACTTTTCAGTCAAACCCCTATCACCAAACTTTTTCTGTGCCTCGCTCAACTGATAATCCAAGCATCAAACCTGTAATTGTCTTGCCATTTTAACAACATCATGGTCAGGTGGATTGTATCTATAGCAGTTACTAAACATGAGTCGCACATCAGCTGCAAATTCAGAGGACGAATTATACTCTCTTCCTTCCATTTTCACCTGTGAAAGAAATTAGCAAAGTTGTTGAATTTAAACTTTAAAGAACTGAGAGGCAATGGAAGAAAAGGAGTAAGAAATATATTGCATCCTTATCAAAAAAGATTGATTACTAACCTTGATTGTACCCATATCCATAGGTTGCTTGATTATGTCATGATAATCATGCAATCCAAGACTACTTGCATCAACAGGCTTGAAAAATGGCCATGCATATGCCTAAAAATAATGGGGGCAAAGTTTCATTTAACCCTTCTTTTTCCATGAGTAATCAGTAATTCAATTATCCTTCACATTTCGCCAAAAAAAATCACCAACTTCAAGTTATGTTGAGCATGACTTGCCAACTAACAAACAGTGTACAACAAATGGTCTTCAGATCCAGGAATTATTTCTTAACTCACAGAAGTGATTAAAATGTAACTTTTCCCTACATTGTATCCATACGTTGTACAGCAAACAGGTGATAAGAATACTCAAACTTCTCTGGCAGAAGGTTGTTATTTTGATCTAACATCAAATTATCATAACTACAAGGAAATGCACAGAAGCTAGAGGGGAGAATTAGCAATTAGATCTTAAAAGTTACAGAGTTAAGGGTCAAATCATTTGCACTAAGAGCTATCTTTAAGCATTGTACATCTCCAATAACAGAATAATCAAGGTAAACATTGATTAGAATTTGTTTTGGAAAATGTATTGTAGAATTGTGGACATAAAGAGAGACACTTCTATGAACCTCAAAAAGTAAAGGAAAAATGGGACTATCAGTCTGAGAATATAAATACCATTTAAGATGTTATTATTTCAAAATGATTGTAGGTTATATATTCATCACTGATGACAGGGTTGTCAAAAAGGTTTTGAGAAACCACTTTGCGATACTAAGAAGGGGGCATAATGTCAGCTACAAGCATTTAGAATTTCCAGTGCATTTTTCAGAGTAGATAATAAAATGCGATGTTTGCTGGTTTATTTTGACAACCCTGATTGTGACATTCCTTTTAATCACTTACTGCGTGTTTTTTAGAGAACAATTCCTTGATAATATTGCTGCAGTATTTGAGTTGTTCTGATAATGGTTTCTTTTTACCTCGTGACTGGGGAAAAAAAGATGAAAATTCAAAAGAGGAATAAAACTTCCTTTAAAAACTGATCAAGCAAAAAGAATGGAAACAAACTGATATCACAACTTCAACTATTCTATTGAAATAAAGTACAAATATTTAAGTTGTCAGGCAACATGTGTCAGTAGTGATACTCACCACCTGTGGCTCTTCAGGTAAATCTCGATTTGGTTTTTTCACTGTTCTGGTGGATTCTCTCCTGGTTGGTATTTTAGCAGCTTTAGCTTTCACAGGAGGCAAGGAATCTCCCATTCCACTGATCGGTGTGGTAGGAGTCGTTGTATCAGCTTTTCTTTTAACTCCTTTTTTGACCTTAAGACAAAATGTTTGTGAAGTCCTTAACCCTTTAACTCCCATAAGTGACCAAGAAAGAATTTCTCCTTACAATATCAAAACAATATCAAGCAGACAAGTCATGAGAATAAAGAAAAATATCAGTTAGGGGATTATAAGATGATCCAATACTAAATCCTCCAAACTAACATCACAAGAACTGTATAGGAGATAGTAAGGAGAATTACTAATGAGATCTTGAGAGTTAAAGGGTTAAGATTTGTTATCTTAAAATTTGAAAGTTGATGAATTGTTGGAAATTTACATTCAAGAAACCTTGAAACAGACTTATAGCAAATATCTATAAATATCGACCTCTACTAAGGTTGCTGTAATGTCAGTCACTACAAACAACAACAATCCTTCTTGGGACTACTCTGAACTGGACAATTCAACTACTTGATCAAAAGTTACAACTGGTTCAAAACACTTATTGTAGCAAAGAACCATTTTATGTAGGTTTTGAAGTAATTTGTCTACCATAGCTCTCCTTTGTTATAAGAAAGTACTGGAAAGTAACAAATGAGGTAAACAAACCTTGGCAGGCTGAACAGTTGTTGGGAGAGCAGGAGCAGCAGAAATGGCAGGGGAGGGCAAGACAGTTGTAGCATCAACTAGAGTTGGAAGAGCAGTTGTGGCTGTTACAGCTACAGGTGGGGTGGGATACGGCAAGCTTGTCATTGGAGTGCTATCTGGAGCTACTGAAATCACAACAATAGAGGAAGAGATTAGTGCAAATTAGAACTTCAACTGCTCTCTGCATTATTCAAGATTGACAGAGTGTTCAAGTTAGACTTCATTTCCAGTCACAGGTTAAGATGTGTGAATCGATTCTACATTCAGAATTTGCACAAAGGTTTGTGTGAGCTTGAGGAGTGCCACACTCATTAGAACTTGTAGTTCCCAGTCCTTCATGTAATCTGATGAAACAACATGGTGTCCAGGATAATATGGCCATCTAGTCCTTCTCATTTTCTTCTACTTGCAAACTAGTTGACAGCCCTAATTAAAAAGGTTAGTTTTGCATTTGAATGAATGCAAAGGTGCTGCATGCAGCACCCAAACAGAGAGCATAAAGAAGCAAAGCCAATCAAATCCTGAATTAATTTCAATAATCAATTACAATCGATTTTAATTTTAATATCACAAATGGCCAGAAAACAAGAGCAGCTATACCTATACACAGGACACAGTCCAACTAACCCTTTACTCCTAAAATTTGATCATTAATTTCCCTTTCTAGCTGTTTCACATATCCTTTTAAATTAATTCCTGGATAATAACTTCTAACTGATAAGTTTGAGTCTTCTCATTACCTGTTTGCTTGGTAATATATGGGTATTATAGGGAGAAGTAACATGTTAATCACTTCTGAAATTTAAAGGTTTAAAACAGTTACCTGGACTGTGTTCCATTTTTACTGGTGGAACACCACCTTTTTTGGCTCTCTTTGCAGCTGGTCCACTGGGTAAAGCCTTCTTGTTGGGTCCTAGAAGTACCTCAAATTCCTACAGCAAAATATGTAGATCTTGATAAATATCTTCCCTTTACTTTCCAGTATAAAACACTTTTGAGGTTTCAGTTGAGTATGTCAAATAAGGCATCTATGTACATGCATTTGAACTTCCAAGTCTCACCTCTGCAGGCATGGTTGCAACTTTCTGGTTAAAAACTTTCTCCATTGTCTGGCACATGAGAACTACATCCTGTTGTAAATAAAGATAGATTACTTTTGTGACTGTTGTTTTCATGACATAGGATTTTCATTTGAGAGTTTGGTAGGACAAGCCATTTCAATGGCATGACTCATTCTATTGAATGGGTGCAAAATTTAATTTAGACTGAGCAAATATTGGTGGGTTGGCAGAATAAGCATTGTCACATAAGAACAACCACAGGTCATCTGTAAATCTTCCTGACAACAGTATAATCAATAACACATTAAACTGAAGAATGTACAAATAACTTTCAATGCAGCTATTGTACAATGGTTCATAAACCACACTGGCCACACCAATCAAACCCCTTGATTTGCAATAACCAATTTTAAATTATGCTTTATAATCCTTGACTTGAACAAATCCCTTAAACCTTTACCCAGGATTAGAAGTGACAAAAAAAAAAGGTAATGAACATTAGAATGCAATCATGAATTTTGTTTGATTGTTCATCTTTATCATTTAAACTTAAGAAACAAAAACCACACATATGGCGTCAATAGGAAGTAGTGTACTGCACCCGAATGGTGAATTTTGGCACATTACTTCCTTTTTCCAACTATCAATTATGAGTATGTAAATCAAATTATGAAAAGATACTTTGCTTTAATCTGCTTATGCTTATAACTACTTAACACCAACAAATTAAAGAAAATGTGAAGAAATGTACAATGACTTTCTGGCACTTCCTTTGGTACGACAGTGAGCAAAATTAAGTGGGAACTATGCATCACAAATTGAATTCTTAAGAAAGATGTTTTTCTCTATTCTCAGACATGGGACAAAGGAACAAGTCTGGGTTCCCATGAGGTATCAAACCTCAGATCAGGTACTTCCATACTCTAATGTTCTACCACTAAGCCATAGAGACTACATAGTGGGCTAGAACTTTACTAAGTTCAAATGTGATAGGCTTCCTGTATTCTGCTCAGAACAACAATGTCAAGAGCTAGGAATTATTGCATAAAATGGGCAAGAGAGTAAATTTGAAGCTTGGTAATGAAATCAAATCTTGTCCAAGAATCTTTCAACTTGCTTCCAGAACATTTTTGTTATGACCTAACAATCAAAAATTTTTTCATTCCCCTTTCAACTACACTATCCATGTTTGAGGAACAGTCATCCATAGTGAAAACTGTTGCCATTGAAAACTTCCTATCCTTATTGGCCTCATTCACAACATATCTATTGATATATGATTGATTTAGGCACAGCTGGTAAAAAGGTATGTTCAAACAATTCTTAAAGAATTATCAATATCTTTACTAAATGACACCTTTTAACCAAATGTGTTGAACAGTTCACAGGAACGGAAATAGCTTTATGATACTGGGGTAAAAACGGAAATTTAATTCAAATTCTGTCGTAATTCCATACTATCAAGCAAACCCAATTTCCTCCTAACTTCCAAGGCATTATAATTGATGCAATCCTGCAATTTTTAATGATTATATTATAATAAACTACAATAGTACTAATCATACCTCTCCTGGTTTGTTGTAAGTGATACAGTTGTTAAACATGAGGCGAAAATCATCGATGCAATCTTGACTGCAGGAATATTCGTGGTTTTCGAGCTTTCTCTTTATCTGACCCATATCCATTGGTTGTTTAATGATTGTGTAATAATCCTACAAGACCACGAGAACTCAAAATCAACAACGACGACTTGCAATGGAGTGAGTGAACACAGTTAGAGTGTTGTACTTTAGGAGTGTACTAACCGGCAAATTTAATTTTACAGCGTCCACTGGTTCGTGAAACGGCCAAGAATATGCATGTCTCCACATCGCTTTCATTATAGTTTTCGACAAATACTGCAATTGGTTGGTCGTTCGATAAACTTTGGGATCTTGCCCGGTAGAAGGTGTCTGAGCCATACCTCTCTACAAAAGACATTTAACAGAATAATAGTTCGAGTAGAATTTATTTCGGTTTCATATGCAACCAACACATCAAATTAGAAATTCAAGCTTTTAGGATGCTGCCCGCCCGAGCGAAGCTCGCGAACAACGAAATTGATTAGAGATATATTTACCGCTGTTTGTTGTTCAAAATCGTCGTACTTGTGAGATAAACGCCTTATTCGCTTCCCGAGTCCGTCAGGACTCGTCTCTGGTCGCAATCCATTCAATGAATCGCCAGAGTTTTGTTCGTTTGTGAGACCAGACTGTAAAGTTGAGCTGGGCCTAGAGGTGATGCAATACAACCTCGTCAAATTTCGCCCTCCAATCTAACTAAATAGTCCCAAAAATAGCATAAAAAAGTGCAAAATAACGTTAGACACGATTTATGCTACTTTAGGGGAGGTAAAAGACAGTTCTTGAGAGAGAAAATAGTCCGCGTCACTTCAACGCCATCTTACAATGTCAACGCCATTTTTGGCGGTGCCACGCACAACTATACACGAACGTAAATCACGATTCACAAGCCACATAACCCAATAATAACCGGACCATACCGTTCGATAAGGTTCGTTAGAGGGTTTTGCAAGGTTTGACTTGTCGGATGGCCTTGCGTTTCCATGCACGGCGAAAGATTCCTCACAGATTCTTTCCTCCTTCAAAGATCCGTCCGGCTCGCCGAAGAGCGATAGCCGCCCTTTTGAATTCTCGAACGACCCCCAGCGAAGGGCTTACAAGCCACGTCACTCTTTCATGTCACGTGCCATTACTCAGCGCGCCAAAAATTGACTGTGTTCTTTTCTCATGGATTGCACGCGAAACGGAAGGCTTATCAACCTTTGGACGCATTTTGTACATTTTTCCACCTTGATTTTACGGTAATAGAAGTAAGAATAATTGCCAAATTTTCTGCCCGATGATAGAATTATTACATTATTTACTCTTGCAATACTTTACAGAAGTGTCTAACTTAAATCCATAATATCGAATCATCGATCATGTCGACAGTTCCATTTCATTTGAGTGGGTAAAAAATCCTCGTAATTCAGTGATCTGCACAAATCGTAGTAGTCATTACAATGAAATTGGTAGATTCCTTGAGGTTTAATCGTCGATAATCGCAATCGCAAGGTACGATATCTTGATCGAAGATAATAACAATTACTTTGATGTGCAACTAGTGCACCGTAGACTCCTGATAGGCAGAATACTTGCAGTGGAATCTGTCATAATAAGCAGTAGTTTACTTTCGCAAAGAAGCTTTACCATATGGTAAATAAATGTGAACACAGGAGGAAAATCGATCCATCGCTGCAGCTGCTTGTGTGAAAGTGCTCTTCGGCCAGGCGTGACATTTGTTGACATCCATCTTCTGTAGCGGAATAAATCATCACAACTTAAGATCAGTTCAATTTAAATCCAGATGTCTTCACCAAAGCAAAAGGTATATCAATAAAACGTTCTGTTTGAGACATCTATACTCAACAATTTTCAATCCCGGTCTCAGATACATAGATCAAGTACTCGTCGTAAACCTAGCTAAATTATTCATGCATCGCGAGGCCAGCCTTTGTTTGTGATCATCTCAAGTTTGGCAACGTCTTTCTGTAAGGTTTGTCCAACATGATGCTCGATAAATTCAACGTTTATGATCAAAAGGCAGTTCCCAATATCGCTCTACTGTTAACCACAGTGTACACTTGATATATCTGTCCACGCAATATGTTCTCAGACTATTCCTGTTGGCGCTCGAAGAGATCACTTCGGTTGGGATAAGTCATACATTACGCCAACCTTGCGCGCGCAACTGAATGATAATAGTGCAGTTTGTGACGACACAGCTCGCGGGACTTTCGAAATACTTCGCGACACTGGTTACGTTCTTCATGAGTTTTTGATCTTGGGTATCTGTTTTCGATGAAATAATCAATGCAATCAAACTTCCTCTCCATTGTCAGAAATCTGACCCTATTTTTTCTGATCCTGTTGATCGTCCGGGGAGGAGAACTGATCAGGGCAATCAAGGTCAAAACAAATAAGGTAAAAAAAAATTACATGTAGCATATTTTGGGGTGAATGAAGCTTCAACATACTAACACAGCTAGACTCTGGTAACCTCCTAAGTTTCTTTCAAGTTTTCTGGCAAGCTTCCTATCTATTTAAGTTAAAATTTATCTCAAGGTAGGTAGTTTTCTGTCACTCATATTGCATAGATCTTAAACCACAAAGGAATCCCTACTTGAAAATGGAAATGGGCCTGAAACATGTGGTGTCAGGAACTAGAGGCAGGCAACAGTAGACAATCTGGGACTGGGCCAACTTGGAGTCAGCAAGGGAGAAATATCCAGCTCAGAGTTGGCTTAAAGACCTAACCCCTAATATTGGCAACCTACATTGGGTGTGGCTGTGGGATTGTCATTGTTATAAGATACAAGATTGTTGAAAATTGACTGAGAACAAAGAGAAGTTTTTCTGCATGGTCTTGGAAGGTTAAGTATTTAGGTATTTAGTTAGAGAAATTAAGTAATTGTTTGTCATTGTAGTTGTCTTAAAAGAATCAGGATTTTTAGCCTTCAGCTGTACCTTTGTCTGAAAACCAAAATTAAAAGGTCCTCTCCTCGAACAACTTCCAAGTCCTTCCAAGTGGAAAATATACTCCTTTGACCCTCTTACCTGAACCTTAACCCTCAAAATCCTACCCCCTGTATATCTCATCTTTTTTTATTTGAATATTTGTGTATTCCATCTTCATAAAATAAGGTACTTTCATTGGACAACACACTTTACTAATAAATAAAAGAAACACCATTTCAATTTATTGAAGTTCTCTTTAATTTTCAACTTGAACAGAAATTTACCTTGACTTTGCTTTTGTTTCTTTGGGTGTGGGTGTGTAGAAAAAAATAGTTGGTATGAAAAATTGAGCCCTTGTGATATCTAGAAACTAACTTGGATAAAAAAGTGAGCATTTTTTTTAAACTGTAACATGTACAAATATCAATGAAACTCTAAATAAAAAAAGAAAAAACAGCTCCATTAATCTCCTTCCAGATTACTATCAGACAGTTTTCATGATCACTCTCTTTTTTCAGTTTCTTGTACCCTTTTTCCATATACCTTATGCATCGACCTGACTGATAAAAAATCTAAGTATGTTCTCAGACTAAAAATCTTAAGTAGAACTGTTCACAGAACTATTTTTGAATGCAAAAAAAGTGTGTACTAAGTTATAAACATAAAATTTTCTCTCAAAGTTAACAAATGCATTAAAAATATTCAGTGATACTACAACACTCATTCTGAATGGGTGAGTTCCTCCTGAATAAGACTTCTAGTCAACATCATCTATGATAGGTTGCTAGGAAAGACAAAATCAAAATTAGTTTAAACTAATGATACCAAAAAGATATCTGCTAAAAGATCTTACCTTGTTCTCAACCCACTCACTTGCAATATCTAAATGTCAATTCTCTTCACAATTTTCTATACATTTCTATTTATTTAACTGTTGAGAAATTGGTGTTGAATTGATTTGAATTGAAATTGGAATTTATTGACATTGAAATACATTCAAATTGAAAGAAGAAATTCCTTTCATCACTCCTAAAAATGAAAGAGTTAAAAGTCAAATTCCTTAGTTAATGATTACTTGTGACTGTGACTGTGTAACAGGGGGTCTCTTCAGAGGAATTGCCAGTGTAATATCATCATAAACAAAAATTTAGACACCTAAACCTAAACAAGGTGTAAAAACAGGGTCTAGTTAAGAGCATATTGAGTTACCAATTGAAAGCAGCTATTTCACTGAGTACAAGTCTAGATAAAACCAACAAAGAAGAAGTCTAGTGCAGCTGGTCCTGTTTTCCAAAACATACATCATTGATATGAATCAGAAGCAAAACTGGCAAAATTCTACAAATTTGTTTTGTGCAAGATCAACTTACTAATTCCAATTAGCATATTAGATGTTTTACACACACAAAAAATATATGCCATGTATGACCAGGTATAATAAAAAAAACTGCACCAAGGTATTGGGTATGATTGAGACCCCTTTGAAAATGTATTCTTTCAAGTCAGATATTAATAAAAAAAATTCTAACTATTTCTCAAGGCAGGATACTCAACACAATCATTTTGCTTATGTTTCAATTATGAATCATGATACATATCTACCTGGTCAGCATGATTTGTCATGGGAGTGCCATAAGGAGGCACACGTGATCGTCTTCCATAAGCTGTTAGAAAAAGACGGATATCAGAGGATACTTCAAAACATTAATTTTCATGTCTTTATGATCTGGCTGACTAAAAGAAGCTGAGTGCTGAGTGAATCTGCTTCTAAGTTTGCTTCTACTAGTCAAGCTGATTGCCAGCTTCAAATGCCCACCTGAACTGTCTTATTGCCTTCCAAGACTTTCTTTCAGTCTATCCATCTGTGGCTTGTTTGTCTTATAAAATTGATTGTCTTCTACCATTATTTGGCAATTTCAGACTTCCTCATCAGTCACCTACATATTCATGCGATATTCTGATCCTCTTTCTGTCTGTTTATTTCTGTATCTTCACAGTTTCTTTGATAAACTTACCCCCTTTATCCGTGTACCTGTTACCACTCTGTGTAAAGTTTGACTGTCTTCTCCCATTTCTGAGTGCTTTCTTACTTAACTAATTGGAAATCAGCCATCAAGGATTTTTCTACTATGTTTTCTGCATGTCTGTTTGTCTGCAATTTATCTGCCTGTCTGTCTGTGTCTGTCTGACTGACTGTCTATTCTTATGTTAGGTACCTTCTCTATGATCTCTGCCTTTTCCAGTAATGCCAAGCTGCACAGCCAATCCACCAATGAACATGACTGGGATAAGACACAAAATCAGCCATGTGTACCAACAAGTGGGCAAATCTGACTTGTCAAAGTGGCCTACAAATTCAAAGAGAATTATCAAATAAACTCCATGAGGCATCATCCACACCAGAGGACAATATTGTCCTCTGATCTCAAAAGAAACTGTTTGCGGGGAGGCACACCAAGAGGGTACTCCTGAACCAAGCAAGTCATTCTCAAATATACTGCAAAACCAGAAGAATAACATTAAATTTTTACACTCTCACATCTGGATGTATATTCTCCATACTGCTCTCTATACATTTCATAGGAGGCTGACAAGGAGAATTTGTTAATCAAGACCTTCTATGGTTAATGATCATTTCCCAAAGTCAGTTGCATCTTTAAAGTTATGCATTATTGCCCTAAATTGAATTATTCTGTAGATGCATGACTGTTCTAGGCCTCTCTCTAGTGAGCAATTGCTCCCAATTGCCTAACATTTATTTGGAAATGATTCACTGACAAGTTTTAAACAGTCAACTCACCATGCAGAATGTTGACTGAGTAGTAGAGTGATCTGCTGTTCTCCACAAAGTAGTCAAGGCCATTAATACAACCAAAAGCTCCCAGGAATGAGGAGGCTATTACAATTACCACCTTAAACAAGAAAACACATACACAAACTGAAGAGGTCAGCTTTCACAACACCCAATTGATGTAGCTCTAAAGGTTCAACAAAGAGGTTTTTTTTTAACTTTCGAAAGGATACTTCTTCATCACTTCTTCAATCATTGGCTCCCGGTCACAAAACGAATTCAATTCAAGATACTGTTGATAACATACAAAGCACTAAATGACATGGCTCCAACCTATCTTGTTGAACTTCTTAGTCGATATATTCCAGCACGAAACCTCCGTTCATCAAATATTAATCTACTTGAGGTCCCAACAATTCGAACTAAAACGTATGGGCAAAGAGCATTCTCCTACGCAGCACCGTATTTGTGGAGAATGCATAAAAAACGCCGAATCTGTTGACTCCTTTAAACGCTTATTGAAAACTTATCTTTTCAAAAATTAAGCCACCAGATTATTTGATATCGTACGTTGTCAAACATATGCATAACATGTAATAATTCATTAGTTTAGATAGAGTAGCGAATTGCATGTATAGGATTTTTATCGAAATTTTGTTAATTTGTAATTGTAAAGCGCATAGAGTTCAATTTTAATGCGCTATATAAGAACTTATTATTATTATTATTATTATTCATACCATGCTTGTAATTCAATATTCAAAAATGGAGTCTCCAAACTAGTTTTTTAGTTACAGTATGTGTACATAAAGCTGAGATGAAAGGCTTTTCTAAGAAGGTGTGGTGTTGCTACAGTCACAGTGGCCTTCCACACTAAACTAACAAGCCAATAATTGAGCATTAATGTGAGCAATTTTCATAGAGACACAGCCCTGTCAGGTCATGTTGATGACATAGCAAATTTGAAATGATTTAATAACCATGCATAGTCATGGCCATGGACTACTCCATCTTTTTCCCCAATTCTATTTGCTGTCTGTTGTTAGCTTTGTATACAGGGTAGTGCTCGTACACCAAAAGAAAAAATTAATCAATGCAACTTTTGTATACCCTCTGTATGCAGAGAATAAGGACTCCTCCCACAATGGCAAAAGCACAAAGAACAATGTAAGGCAGCCAGGTGTGTTCAGACAGGTATTCTGAATGTTTATAGAGAAGTGGCAGACAAACCATGCCCACAAACCATCCCATGGTTGCACCTAATACAATCAAGTAGAGAGAAAGTGTTAACAATAAAAGTCAAATACAACAAAGGAAATATAAAAATGTAAAAAAAACTGTTACATTTGAAACATGACAATATGATAGGGTAGTAAAGTGTCACATGCAACTGAGTAAAATGCATTGCATTACAATAAAGTGGCAGTCTAGGAGAGGGTCCTCCCCTAAATTTAGACCTAAAACCTTTTCACCGAGAATCTTTTTTGGCTGATTTATTTTTGAAAGGGACCCCATACTGTGTATATAACTCAAGGTCTGGATCTGCCACTTTATTGTGGGTAGTAATGAACCGTGTGCATTTCATTGGTTGACATCTTTGTGATAAAAGTTTGTTCATTTAAAGTTTTGCTGAGAAACGAATAAATGAATTCAGTTTTTAAAGGGTTTGTTTGAACCAAGCCTTTACACCCTCATGTGCATAGCCAAATTCAAATTAGCCATAAAATGGCCATCATCTTGAGTGAAAATCCCCCATTAAAAAATATATCAAGTTAATATTTCCTTCTAAGCATGCTAGGAGTGGAAGGACACAACAAAGTAGATTATAATAATCACTTTTTAATGGCTCATTTTCCACTTCCCTGTTAAGAAATTGATGTTAAAGTTAAACTGAGCCTTACCAAGAATAAAAAGTCCCAGATAAAAAATACACAGTGTCAATAGCCCTGCAATGATCCCAACACCAACAGAAGCACCAAGAAATATCTGAAACCATCAACAGAAAAGAATAGTCTTTTCTTTACGTCAAATCAATAACTCTAATTATGCTCTGCCCTCTCTCTTTTAAGGTTAATAGAGATGGAGTCTCTGGAGAAGAAAATTTGCTCACACTACTAGAACTCATACCAGTTTCACAACATGAAGGGAATAGGATATTTACTGCTTCCCCAGGGTAGGGTGCTAGTTGTAAGGTACCTCCATAATTTTTCAGTTTACCTTTGTTCACTAGTACCAAACATTCATACTCCTGGATGAAGAGATGCATTCTCAGAGCAAAGTGTCTTGCCCTAGCACACAATTCAGTGACCCTGGCTGCACCTCACACCCAGCCCTTTTGATTCAAATACCATTACCCTTCAACCATCAGACAAGCCCAGTGTAGATCAAGGAATTAATGTTGGAATGGTCTAAACTTTAGTTCAGTTAATACAGAATGTTTTTGTGTTACACTAGAGCTTAGAAATATTTTAAGGTGAGTAACTAAAAATTACTTCAAGTTGAGGGGTAAAATGTTGTCCTGTTGCTGGAAGAAATTGGTCTCAAACAAGTAGTAAAAAACCCCAAAGTTCTGATGGGAGGGGTTGCTGTTCCCCTTCAGCTCTTCTCCTACTAGTGAAGCTGACCAAATTCAAGCTGCCTCTAGCAAGACTGAATTTATAGACAATAGTAATAATTACTCTTAAAGAATCATTGCTACTAGAGTTTTAACTGAAGGAATACCATACCTGATCTTTGTGCTCCAGAAATTTCCCAGATAGATGTTCCGTGAGATATCCAGAGCATAACATATAGGTGAAGAAAAATCCTGTTAGGAAACCAGCTAAGAAAAGCATAAACTTGAATATCCGGTATCCTAAAAGGAAATGAATTTAATACAATAAATATTACATAGATTTTATTGCAAATGCACATTTGTATATCTAGAAATAAGGTATGTCATTAACAATAGTAATGACCCCAAAAAATTTTTTTACTGAAATTATGAATAAAATTTTTTTCCTATCAGTTTCTATCATTTGAGCATATGTTATCTGTTTTATTTTCCCCCACCTTTATACTGAATGTTAATCACTATCTTGAAGTACTCAATACAAGATATCAGCAATACAACAATTTACAACTATCTTTTAAACTGCTTTTTTCTTTATCTAAAATTTACTTGAACTCAAAACGGTCTAGTTCAGCTCATGTATGCCTTGCAGACCTATTTCGATGTGCACATAAAAATATCGTGTTCACCGAATCAGTTACTACTGAAGAAATGTAAAATGGTTTCTGTGTTTACATAGCCTGATGTAAACACGCAGGAGGTTGGGAGAACATGAGATAAGCGTTGGAAACCATGATGCGAAGCGGAGTGGTTTCCAGCTTATCGAGTGTTCTCCCAACCTCCCAAGTGTTTACATCAGGCTATGTAAACACGGAAACCATTTTACATTTCTTTTATAAAATAACTAATGGAAGAGGAACAAAAACTGTGTTTACATACGCTCATGTAAAATGGTTTTATGGCCAATCAGAGCACGCATACTATTTGAATTATTTTATAATATTTATTAATTCGAATAATAAATGTTGTGCTTGTGTGACAACATTTGTTTATGGTAACATTGGGTAAAATTTCCGCACAGCCCCATACTACATTATGCATTCAGTTCTTGAATAGAGAAAACAATGACAAAAACAATACATTTCTATTGGGAAAACAGATTTGTTTTACAATAGTATGGGGCTGTACGGAAACTTTACCTAACGTTGTTGCTGACTATTCTCGAAATAGTCAAAGTTTTATTGTTTTCAAGGCAATGAACTGTTTTTCACTTTCATAAATTCATAATTTGCATGCACTTATGGTAGGTAAGATGTATTTCGAAAGCAGGTAAACAGGGGCGTCAGAGCAACTCATCGGAATATAAACAAACGGTACCGTTAATTAGAACACTAATATAGGTAACTTTTCGTTTAAACTCAAACTGGATGGCCTAGAAATTTTATTCTTCAATGTTTCCCATGTAACCCAATGTCTCTTACCAAAGAAGCAAATGAGCGATCCAAGCAGAATGGCTATTGCAGACAAAATGCAGCTTTGAGTGTCGTAAGAATTATGCAGCTCGCAATCTTTAGCGTCTGGTTCCAGAGTTGGAGTGGAAGAGACTAAAAAGTCCGATGCCAAATGCATTTTGTAACTTGAAGGATTCGGGCAAGCGCTCGGATGTACGGTAAAATGAATATGACCGGAGGTAGCACTGCTCTTCTTGGGAAGACCAACGTCACGGAAGTCCCTACATCGGGTCTATGTCCCTTGGGGACAATATTCGCTGGTACTCAGATTCTCAGTGGTGAACCTATATTTCCTTGGAATTCTAGCACAGAACGGAGCTCTCTGACAATATCTCTCAGAAGCACGTGAATGTGCGCGTGAAACATGATGTTCACCTTCTATCAATGATAGGAGAGTTTGTATCGTTTGGATGTCAACGTTTGCATTGCGGTCGAACTGTGGATCAAATTTCCCACCGGCGTAACACCAGATAGGGGCTGTCCTGGTGTACCAGTACAAGGGGGAATTCTTATTGTTTTCATATCCTTACATGGAGTTGTGACGCAGTTCGTTAATGTTTCGATCCTTTGTGTACCGGTACACGAGGACACAACCCACCAGATAGAACACTTCAGTGGGTAAGTTTTCATTTCGTTTCATACTGTTGGCCATAACATTTGTTCCAAAATGTCCCTTGTCTAATACTATGTCACTTACCGAAGAAACAAATGAGCGATCCTAAAAGAATGCCGATTGAAGCCACACTGCAGCTTTGCGCGTCATAATAATTATACAGCTTGCAGTCATCAGTGTCTGGTTCAAGGGTTAGAAGGGAAAAGACAATAGTCTGCTACTAAATGCATTTTTAATACCTCGACGGATTCGAGTAAAACAAAGACGTTTGGCCCTGAGGCACACATTTCTGCTGCTCCTCTTCCGACTCCAATGAGCATCATTATTACTCTCGCTGCTCCATGAGTAATTAATTGAGGAAATTTAAATCACACGAACCTTACCAAAGTATAAAGAGAAGTGGGTTGGCGTGTTTTGACAACAGTTTTTACAAATTTATTTGACAATTTCTCTCTTTTCTACAATAGTAAACAACAATGTTAAGTATAATGCTATTTACAAACTAACAATGCAAATAAATCGTTCTCTACAAATTTTAAAACCAAAATATTTAAAAATGAAAGTATTCGTTTAAATCTATTTCTGACAAACCTCACAGTAACCTTTTGACCTCCAGAAGTGATTAACATGTAACTTCTCCATAAAATATCCATATATCCGGTAAACAGGTAATGAGAATACACAAACTTATCAGGTAAAAGTTGTTATCTTCACCTAACACTGAATTCTCTTCATTATTTAACAAGGAAATGTGTAGAAGCTAGAGAGAAGAATTAAAAATCAGATCTAAGAAGTTAAAGGGTTTAGTTTCCAGGAACCAATAAAAGTAAATTTATCCACTGCAAGCTGAGGACCATCCATGTACCTCAAGACCAAAATCAAGGCACTGAAATATTGCTCACTAAGATTAATTTCAGAATTGATTCACCCTCCCTTAAACCACTAAAACAGGACAAGAAACTCTAAAACCATCTTTTTTTTTCTCAAATTGTCACGGGTCTTTGACAAAAAAGAAAATCCACATGTTCCTCTTCTCCCTAAAGCTTTGGTGTTGCTATGGATGGGCTAAAATACTGAGGAGGTGTTAGGGGGTTAGCTTTTCTCTCATCCCATTCCTATGGTTAGGATTTTTATGATACTCAAAACATGGACATAAGGGCACTTCTAGTGTTTCAGAAATTTAAAAAAAAACACAAAAAACAAATGTACAGAAATCTCCAAATTTTTTGGGGGCATCTAACAACAAGTGAGGGTTGTTCACGATGATATGATCAAGATGGTTATTTTACAGTTAAGTCCAAAAATTCAATTCTCTGCAACAAGCTGGTTTTAAGTGTACAAAAGAAAAGTTGCTACCAACCTACTAATAATTTGAAAATTATAGAGATCCTTTTCCCAGAACAATCAGACTACTAAATTTTCCTTGAAAATGTGATGCTATCATAAAACATGGCACTTCTACTGAGCATCTTAGTTGCTCCTGGGAAAAAGCTCTTAAAACTTAATTTGACAACAATATGACAGAGTGGTAGTCAAATTTTCACTTAAAAACAATACAACTCCCTGTGCAGAGCACTCTTATAAGGACAGAAACATTTGAATTATCATGATGATCTGTTCAGGGTGTACTAGATCAATAAGGGGGACACCTGACATATTCTCACCATGATAGTGAAAGTAAAGGATTCTACAACTAAATTTTCTTGGTGTCCTTTGACTCTTGAGTACTGTTTAATCATAGTCTGTCAAAATGGGCCGCTGGTGAAAAGAAAGATGCAGAATGTCAATCAAGAATTGCCCAATAAATTATCAGATGCAACCCTCATAAAAACTTAAAACCAAATCAATCAAAATATAATTAGTCTGGGGGTGGCAAGTTATGTTCAACTGAAGTTGCTGTAGCAAGGTCTAGCTGAGAGAATATCTTGAATAACACTTCCCCCTTGAAAGGTATTACACATACAAGACAAGTGTCAATAAGACAATTGAATGATAAATAATTACAACTTTCTTTACACAGATTTAAAATTAGCACATATGGATAAAATCATGTAATGTGCATTTGTCAATGCTATGAACCCAAGGTTTCAAAAACTCAGGATATATCAGATTTGGCTTCCTCTGTGGACAACAAAGTAGCACCTGGTTATATGATTGTTCAAGCAAGTGTGGTCTTGGAAATGACTTTTAGAAGTGACAATGTGACAAAATTTGTCATAGCATAAACCTATGTTAAAGACTGCTCCAGTTTTGAAATCATCAGCTCCTGTCATTGGCAACAATGTTCAGATTAACTACCCTCACCAGACAATTCCTGTTCAAAAGCAACTCACAGGCTCAAGCCATTTACAGTGGAATAACATATACCTGGTCCGAGAATTCCTGCATGGGAGTTGCTGTGTAAAGATTCCTTGAACTCCTGCCATAAGCTGTTTAATACAATAGCAAAATCAGCAAAGGATTTAAGGGGTAATCATAAATAAAATTGGTTGTAGTAGTATTTCAAGTGAGAAGCTGTATTGCAGTTAAAAAACAACAACAACAATAAGTCTAAACACTAGCAGTAATAGAAAGTTCAAGAAGTCAGAGAACAACCAGGGTTTTATTCTTTTCACTGGCTAGCAGTTTGTTTATCCATCAGGCCCCTACTGTTCAAAGGGTGAATTACCTTATCATTACCTGATAAATCTCTAAATGGTGGATAGCAAAGAACGTTTTGTTAACTCTTATCCACTGGAAAGCCATTTCTCCATTAGATAACATTATCTGTTTTCTGAACAACTGGCTAATTGCCAAGCTGTTTAGCCATGACCTCATTTAATGTTTTGCTTCATAAAACCAAGAGATATCCACAAAAGCAAAAAGTTCTTGCTTACAACACAACATTCACACTTATAATAGACACAATCCACAAAAAAAAATACATTACACTTCTCAATCTGCTACATGCAGCCTGACACACAGTGATTATAAGAATAACTAAACCTCAATTATTGAACCAACCAATATTACTATTTTTTTCATATAATACAAAATAGGTACTGACACCTTCCACGACACAATACTGTAAATTGTACTACACTTTTTAATGATGATAACAAAAATTAGATAAATCATTGCTGTTCTTCTTCTTCTTCCTCTTCTTCTAATAATGCTAAAAGCATGTTTATCCACAGAAGCTTTATCATTCAGCCATTCTTACCTTCTCTATGATCACTGTTCTTTGCAGTCTTACAAAATTGCACCACCAGCCCAGCAATGAACATGACTGGGATAAGACCTAACACCACCCAGGTATACCAGCAGTGAGGCAAGGCAGACTTTGTGTAATGACCTACAAAATAAAGGACAACCTCAGCATGAAATGAAACAACAGAACACTGGAAAAGTTGATTATCAGTACCATGAACACAAGGAGAAATTCTCTGTATTTACACATTTCTGCAAATATAATTTTTCTCCTTCTCTACCCAAGGTGCATGTCCTACACTCTGTTATGATAGAAGAAAATGTAATGAAAAGGCTTCTTGAAAGCCTTTCATTGATGAAATTTCTTGAAAATGATCTTGACCTGGAAAATGATTCTTATATGGTATAGTCAAAGATTTCAATTCATGGAGACATCCTTGTAAAATAGCCAGTAAATACATCTGTTATTTGGGCTTCATTCCCTTAAAGTTAATTCTTACAAATTCCTGTATGGCAGGCAATACTAGGAAAGGACCACTTTTTCATCTTCTACTTCTATCAGAAATTAATGTGCTGTGTACTATGCAATATGACCAGGAACTTGGAGGAGGTGCATGAAAAAAAAACCTCGTAATTTATACTCATATTAACTCTTCACTTACCATGCAAAACACTGATTGAGTAGTACAGCACTCTGCCATTTTCCACATAGTAATCAATACCATTGACACACCAAAAGGCTCCAGAGAAGGATGTAGAGATGACAATTATTACCTTAAAACCACAATAATAATCATAATTGATTGGTCAATATCTCATTCATGGTGCTATAATACAAAAAATCTAACATGTTTCTTCATGGAAGGAAAAATGTTATTTAAAATGCAAATTCAGGGACCAACTTGGTCAACAGGGTGTCCCATACCCATCAAGAATAGCACATGAAAGGTGGAGTCAGCAGTTGAGCTAAAGGGCTTGTCAGACCCGACCTTATCCTGGTTTCTGTTGCATGGAGTGACCAGGAGTATTATTACTACCTCTAGATGGGATGCTGCTTCATTGCAGGGTAACCCCCCCTTCCTTAACATTTCATCAGGTTCCCCTGTCAGTTGCCTGCTATCTATGTATGCTCCTGGGTGGAGTGAGGCACATACAATACAGGGTGATCTTCAAACCTTTGTGCAGTGGTGATTTAACATATAACAGACCATTGCTCTGCCAAATTAAGTTTACATGGGATCCCACAGTTACTTTAATTACCTCTGCTACATTAACTGTCTAAAATAAAACATAACCTGGAGAACTTGGAAATATTTAGCTACCTTAATATCTCAGAACAAAGGTTACCTTCTGTATACAGAGAATAAGAATTCCTCCTGCGATGGCAAATGCACAGAGAATGACGTAAGGCAGCCAGTTGTGTTCAGACAGGTATTCTGAATGCTTGTAGAGAAGAGGGAGAAATGCCAGGCCTACAAACCATCCCATGGTTGCACCTGAACATATGAGAGCAGAATATATTTAAACACATTTATAAACATCAAAAACAAGATCGTAATAAGATGTTTTAATCAAAAGGTCAATCACATACCAAGAGCAAATAATCCAACATAGAAAATACAAACTGTCAGCAATCCAGCAACAAGACCAACTGCAGCAGAGATACCAAGGAATATCTGCAACAAGAATGAGATGATGAGATTTTAAACTCACCAATTGGTAAACCCAAGTAAACTGTTACCAATGAGTGAACTTCTATAAGTATATTAACACTCAAGCATCTTTGAAATTCAAAATTAAAATACCAGTACAAAGGAAATAACAATTCCCATAGATCAAAATCCGCAAAATGCCTTTACTTTTTCAAATACAATATTATTATAAACTCTTTCAATAATTTTGAAAAATGTTATGTAGGACAATCCTTGTGCCTTTTCATTTTTCCTACTGATAATATCAGTTTCTTTCCTCTTGGCTGATTTTTTCCAATTTAGGTCCTTTTTACCTCCCTACATTTTTTCATCCCAAACCTACAACAACATGCAAAGACAGTTTTAATTCTATTCTCTAAACTCTTATTTTAATAATCAAAATGCCTTTACTTTTTCAAATACAATATTATTATAAACTCTTTCAATAATTTTGAAAAATGTTATGTAGGACAATCCTTGTGCCTTTTCATTTTTCCTATTGATAATATTAGTTTCTTTCCTCTTGGCTGATTGTTTCCAATTTAGGTCCTTTTTACCTCCCTACATTTTTTCCATCCCAAACCTACAACAACATGCAATGACAGTTTTAATTCTATTCTCTCAACTCTTATTTTAAAAATCCGCAAAATGCCTTTACTTTTTCAAATACAATATTATTATAAACTCTTTTAATAATTTTGAAAAATGTTATGTAGGACAATCCTTGTGCCTTTTCATTTTTCCTATTGATAATATTAGTTTCTTTCCTCTTGGCTGATTGTTTCCAATTTAGGTCCTTTTTACCTCCCTACATTTTTTCCATCCCAAACCTACAACAACATGCAATGACAGTTTTAATTCTATTCTCTCAACTCTTATTTTAAAAATCAGCCTGGTTTATAGAAAGCTAGGCCTGTGGCTGTTTATCAATCTATCTTTTGCATATTTCTACCAATCATTACTTTAAAGCCCAAACAAAACCACCAGCTACACAAGTTTGAGACCTGAAACACAGTGGCTGGCTAAGATACACTAGCACCTCAACACTAAGTACTCTCAGGAAAAAAAAGAAAAACTACAACACACAAACACACACTAAAACAGAACTGAAGCACAGAAAGAGAGCAGGATATACATTCATGGAATCACCAACAGCATCTGTAAAAGACTGAGATTACTGGAGAGCTTGGCTGAATATCAGGGGCTCAAAGAGGATAACTGGGATAAAAAATTGTAAAATAAATGCACAATGATCTGCTTGAGCAGGATAAGTATGAAAACTGCTCAAGATAAATTTATCAACATACCTGACGTCTATGTTCAAAAGATTTTCCAGACAGCTTCTCAGTGAGATATTCTTGACACAACACATAAGTGAAGAAAAATACCACCAGAAATCCAACAAGGAACAGAACAAGTTTAAACAAACGGTATCCTGCAAAAAAATGTGAATAGTTGGATTTACTTGTGCATATCAAAAGACCTCCTCTTTTATACAATAGTTTACTGATTTCTTACAAGCTTAATGCAAGATTTTAGTTATTTTTTACCTAGTACCTTCCAAGATTTTAATTCATAGAAATCATCCAATATATGCGATTATATTTCCATGTAATTTAGCTTACAATTTTTTTTATCATATCATATTAAAGCAACATCTAAATATTATCAGTTTTTGTTGGCTGGATAACAAAAACTGATTCTGTATTTACAAAGTACTCCATAAAATTACCGCCATAAAACCACATAATGAGTATTAAACGACTTTACAGTTAATCCCCTTTTCCCTTTTTAGGCCGAAAAAACTAAAGAGCAATGTCAATGTATTGCAGGTTTGCATGTAACTAGCACATATACATACTTAAGACTATTGCATATGAGTTTAAAGCTTTATCAAATGAAAGACCTTGCGAATGTTCAACTCTGTTATTTTCTCTGCCTTACTATGTTAGGGGGGTTTATTTTCCAAGTTTTGCATCGTGTGACAAGCTAGAAAGATAGTTGTGAAGATGAAGAGACTATCTTTCCTATCACTTGGTTTCCTTTTCAAACTGCTCACGCCTCCTCAGTGTGTACGATCATTTGAGCAGCGACTAATCGATTTTAAGACAATTTATTAGCAACACTCACTAAAAGTCATCAAAAATATGACGGTCGTTGCGACCGCCATAATTGTGTGCGTGCGGCGACATCATTTCGACAAATTTGATTAAAACATTTATTTGAGTTACTAAGGTATGAAGACATAAAAACTTTCTAAGACTTAACAATCCAGATATTAATAATATTTCTAAAGCATGCCTGAATATAAACTTAGATGATAAAATGGTTTTCAATTCATTTTCGAATGCGTGAATCGGGCAAACCACGAAATTGCAAATTCGCGTGCCTGTTTGTAAAAGAGTTTGGTCGAAATTACATTAAATACGGAGAAGCTTTAGAGTCTCTTTGTCTTTCCATAGAAAGTTTCTCACCGTAAAAACAGACAGCTGTTCCCAACAAAACACTAATTCCAGCCAGAACACAGCTCTGAACGTCATACCCGTTGTGTAGCTTGCAATCGTCCGAGTCTCGTTCAAAGGTTTGAAGGAAATTGGAAGCCATTCAGAAGCCCTTGGTGATACAGATCACAAATTTGCGCTAAGTCAAAGAGGAAATGCCAAAGTTGCGATTACAAAACATTCGAAAGCAACGCGGAGGAGAAATTGCAGTTAACAAAAACGTCCTCATGCAGCCTCATACGTCTCGCTGTCACGTCGCCTCGCTAACCCTGGGAACGAGGTCGCAGGCGGAAGTATCAAACTTGTCCAAGTTTGACTACGAAAAGGGGCGGTGGAATTCTCCCATGAAGTGATTTCTTGATTCTCTTCATCTTTGGGCCGTGATCATGTCGGTTGGAGTTTCGATGTGTAGGTTTAGAAAGCAGTTGCCAAAGGGACATGGAAAAATGACTATCGGCAGTGGATGCGTCGTCCATCGAAAATTCAATTCCGACGGCTCGAATTCGAAGGAGGACATTTTCTTGGTCACCACAACGCAAGTCGTAACTAAGCAAGAGCTGCTCGCGAACAATACGGGAATAACAGCTGAATTTCTCAACAAACGGGAGTCCTTTAGTTTGGATTCCGCAGAAGTGTTCGACATTCCTGATCCTGTGCATGGAGGAATACTGGCAGGAATGGAGAGCAGCGAAGCCAAGAGGATGCAGCAAGAATCGGCTCAAGTGTCGTTCATCTTTATACCCGTGCACAAATTTGATAGCAGAAATGCGTTTGTTAAGAAATTCATCCCTTTTGTCACTTTCAGTCTGGAAAAGAAACGTCCCATGCCCTCCAGGTCTCAAAGTGATGAAATCTTGCAGTCTTCCATCGCAAGTAGAAAGGTGCTGTGCCATGTTCTTTCCGACTCTGGCAGAGGAGACGGCTACTATAACACCGAGCCATACTGCCTCGAGTTTCGAGATGAAACCAACGATTTCACTCTAACTTCAGTAACTGACCGTGATGGCGCAGCAGTTGAGAGTCAGAAGGATCTCCACAGAGAGGAGAAACCATGGGGAGCTCTCCTTATGAACGAAGAAGGAGAATTCGTGGGAATGCTGGCTGTTGGAACCTCACAACAAAAGAAATTGTATCCCTTGTTCCTGCCGACGCTGGCCCAAGACAATCAGTCTAGTAAGTAAATTTGCAGTAGATGAGCTACAATAACCGGGGTGTGGGATAAAGAGTTAAATCGGGAAACGCTGCTCTTCTTTACAAGTTTCTGAACACAACATTCCCACTACACTTATTTAAGTTGTCATGAGCTTATACAAAAGGTAGGTGATTCGCAGAGCATTGGTTGATGTACACTTCCTAACTTCTGTTTGAAACCTTTCGAATCTTAAGTCCATCTAGTTCATTTTTTTAATGGAAACTGTTATACTCAAGTTGGAATTTATAATTAATGTACTTCATAATTTATTTGACCATCTTTTGATCACCAACAATCAAATTAATTCCATCACATGATGTAAGCCAGTATGATCATCAATTAGCATAGCTACATCATTGTTTTCAACAATCTCAGGTGAAGGGAACCAAGAAGCTGTTAACCCAAATTTAGATCAGCCATATAGCCAAAAAGAACAACTCAATCCAAACCTTGCAAATTTGGACCAAAAGACAGGAAATGGTTGTACTCCAGACAAAGAAAGAATCAGTGATTACAACAAAAAATCACTTCTGTTGGTGGATTTGCCAAAGTCAGCAGATGCATACCCTAGACAAGATGAAATGCCAGTTTCCAGTAATTTACCCTCATCTACAAAAGAATTTGCCACATTTGATGATCAATATGATCATGATCCAATGGATATCCAAGACTCAAAACCCTCCTCTTGGGTGGTGAATATAAATGCTCACCAACAGGGTAGACAAAACATTGCAACTCAACATTCCTATCAAAGTGCATCATTTTCATCTGTACGAGGTATTAGTAAACAAAGATTAATGATGATTCTAAAAGTAATTAATCTTTGGTGAATCCTTCAAAGAAAAAATTCTCTTACTGACACTATTGTAAGTGCAACAACTGTTATTAAGAATACTAGTGCAAGTTGCCTTCATGATGATGATTTAAATTGTAAATTTATTAAGTATTTCAGCTACTTTCAAAGAGTTTATTAACAATTAGTTTCTTATATTTTTATTTAAACACATAACCCAAAATATGCGCAAAGGTGTGAAGAACCATACTGTACAAATTCATGAAAAGGCAAACAAAGAGTAAATTTATTATGCCAACCCTCATATATTTCCAATCTTTCAACACCATTGTTCACAATCTTCCCCCTTTGTACCTTCTGATGTAATATTGTGACCCCCCAAACTCATCATGACTCCAGTACACAAAGATCATAAGCTCTTCTCAACTGAATAGTATTTGAGATACAATCTTAAAAATATGACACCAGTACATCAAAGTAATTCAAGTCCTCTTCCTCTTCCTCTTCCCATAACATTCACAAAGATTCCTACCTGTCACAGGTGTAATTATAAACAATAATTGTTTATTATTGGATGGTGCTTTTGTGATATCTAGAATAATTAAAAAAAAAAAAAAGGAATCTAATAATTGTTTTGGAACATCAGTGGGTGGAACTGATAATTTATTTCTAAGCCCTAAAAATATACAAATCAGCAGCACATAATTTGATTGACAAAAAGGTCTAAGCATTAGACAATATGTGAAAAATTGAATAAAAGCTGGTCGAGAAAGTAAATAATAATAAATAAATTTAACTGAAGATAACATAATTGTAAAAAGTGAAATTCAACTATTTTTTCGATGTCTTGCTCGGTCATCAAAGCAAATGTGGAAGTCATGTTTTTGTGACTGACAGCAAGCTACACAAAGTGCACAAACTTGACATGACTACCCTTAGAAATCATGCACAGCGATCATACATGATATGATTACCCAGGACCTTGACATGATTATTGTATAATCTGCAGCTAGATGACTTCCCAGGTGCTGATTTCGAAAATTCATTGTATGCTTTTGGCCAATCAGAAAAGAGATAGTGAGTTGAATGTAAAATAATAATTAAAACAACACTTTGAAAGGTGCAAAATTTCTCTGTCTGTGAATGAAAGTGTGAATTATGTAAGAGTATTCATAAATGTGATGAAAATAAGTTTTTCATTACATTGGTCTTGAAAGCAAACAGGCTCTCAGTGGCAGGGCAACTTGAGCAGTGAAGCCTGTGAGAGGTCAGCAAGAAACCTGGATTAGAAATGCCAAACCTCTTGCAGACTATATTCCAGCTCAAATCTCTTGAGCTTCACTGCTTGTTATTTCATCAATTTAAAAAGTTGATAACAGTAAATATTATTGTATACTAACAAAATTATTATTTACCACCAATGTAGGCTGTGGTGTTCGTGAGACCCCAAGTTTGCCTCCTGAGAAGGACAGACCCCCTAGAAATCGTTCTTCCAATGGGCAGAGTCGCCATGGTGACACTGATCTGCCTTCTTTACCCAGAAGCCAGAGTGATGTGTTTGGTCCAGAAACCCCTAATCAAAGCCCACATACAACTCGTCACAACACAATTCCAAGAAAACAGCTAGAGCATATTCTGCCAGGTAATTAGGCATAGCAGGTAGTTGGCATTTATTGGAGATTGGTTTGAGTCACAGGTTTCTTCCCTATTTTTTTGTCTTTTTTTGAAATTGTCTCTAGTGACTTTTATCTTACATACAACAATGCAATACTAACACAATGTAAAATACTTACAGTAATTACGATACTAACAATGCTTATGTTACCTACAATACAACCCCTATTTCTATTTATACTTATCAATACTCACGTTTAAGTCTACTTTACAAAAGGATTTTGTAATCATCTGCAATGAAACCATGCAAATACCTTACCATGTGTAAAGCAAAATTAAGGAAAGGTTATTAAGATGATAATATCTCTACAGGGTCTTTTTTGAAGGACGAAATTGTCAGTCGGCAAGATGCCATGGATGTTCTTATCCTTCATCTGGACAGATCAGTCTGTCTTGCTCCTGGGATTCCAGACACTCAACGTTGGGAGCGTCTTGCTGACCAGTTAAAGGTACCAGACGATGTAAAGAGTCAATGTGCAAATTTCTCTGGAAAGCTGAGCTCAAGTGAATCATTGTTTGAGCACTTATGTGCAACACAAGACTTCCTTACAGTGAAACAGGTCAAAAGCTGCCTCAAGAATCTGGGTCGAAATGATGTTGTTGCGGAGCTGGAGAAAAACATTCACCTCAAAGGTAACCCTTTGACACCTTATGAGGCACATGTTTGTTTTTATCTATGATGTGAGACACTTTGAATTGACTTAGTTTACCCAACTTCGGTTATTTAACTCTGGACGTCATGATATTACGCAGCGGTTCGTGATCGGTTAATCATCAGAGGTTTTACAGTTCTTGGCAACATGTATTACCTTAAACTGGTAGGGTTTTAGAGCTATTGAAAAGAAACAAAAGTCCTTGAAAACAGGAGAATATTTCTCACAACTGACCTAAGCAACCAAATGCATAAACTAAATAACGGTTACCAAAAAAAATTAATCGTGATTTTTAATCCTGTTTCTTAAGACGAAAGTACAGTCACCGACCTTTATGAAAAGCATTCAGAATCACTGTGTAATATATGCATGAAACTTGACGACAAGCGAAGCATAAGGAATTGGTCCCATTTTGGAATTGCGCTTGGCATCAAATCAAGAACCCTAAAAAGATTGAGAGACCCCTCTGGAGACAGTCCAAGTGAGTTGGTCCTGAAAATGATCCAAACAAGAAAACCGCGTCTTCCGTTGGAGAAACTGGTTGCGGTTATCAACTTACCGGGCGTAACTAAAGCACTGGCTAGTTTTCCAGGTAGTATATGGTAACTCATCACTTCCAAGCTATTCTATCTGAAGAGCCACGTCCACTCCTCTTAGTTTATTGTAATATGTGAAGCAGACGCTCTTGCGACTTTTAAAATTGTCCACGCAAACTCGACCTTTTTTGTTCAAGTACTAATGTTGCTTAATTAAGATTTCTATTCTTTGACCAAAATGCCCAACAGCGTATGTAAAAGTAGGTGTTTTGAGTAACACTTGTTTCTTTCTTCATTTCTTTGACACAGGTAACAGCACTATCGAAACATTGCTTGGTAACATGGACGCCATGGAAAACGTAACGACATTGTTGGATCCTGATAGAAAGTGGCAACGCGTTGGTCAGCATTATAACATCGACCAGAGAATCCTTGATAACTTAAAGCCAGGTGATTTCCAGAGTCCAACAAAAACCATGTTGGAATACATTGTTAAAAGAGAACCAACCGCGACTGTGGATACCTTCCTGAGGTCTCTACTGAACATAAATCGCTCCGATGTTATAGAGGACCTAAAGGAGATTTTTTATGGTAAGATTATTCTTCCAAGTCTACTGAAACGAACGCATATACATACATACCTACTAGAGTTCTATTATAAATGCCAAATTCTGCCAATTATAAAAAAAATCAACATCAAAAAGTATGTGGGGAGTAAGTTTCTTAAGATGCTGTGGTGGGAAGTAAGGAGAGATTTTAAAGATGACGTTTCGGCAATAGCTCTTCATCAGAGCACTCCGACAAAGGGCTAACGTTTGAAACGTCTGCTCAAGAATTTCTTATCGGTGGCCAATTTACTTTATCAGCTCTGTTGATAACACAAAGTGATCTTGTAACATCAAAAAGATCCCATGATAACTCAAAGTAAATGCAAGTAACTGACCTCAATTAAGGGACTCGAAAAATGCAGCTGACAACTGGGACTTAACTCATTTGTTTGCTCTTAACCCTTTACACCCTAACATCAGTATTCATATTCTCCATACTGTTCTCTGTACATTTACTAAGGTGCTGACAAGGAGAATTTGTCTAACAATCAAGAGTTTCTTTAGTTGGTGATCATTTCCTTTATTCTCATGACCTTTATGTGTGATTCAGTGGTGATATTGTGAGGAGAAATTAGATGCTAGTCACTCTAATGGGTTAAAGGGTCAAAGTATGAGAACAGAAATCGTAGCCAATGGTTAAGATGTCTTCCAAAAGGTATTTTGAACATTAGGAGGTGGTTTTTTTGCTAAGGTGTTGTACGTTAAAGGCTCTGTATGTAGCTTTCGCCTTCGAGCTTTGATTTCTCGGATTCGATTGGAGTATGAAATAGCATTTTTTTCTGTCATGTGAGATTGTAACCAATTACGCGCGATAAGTACAAATAGTTCTTAAAATAATAATTATTATTATTTCCAGCGGATGACATTGAGAGAATACTGCGGGCGGGAGGACCTGTACCTGTACCTGTATAATTTGGCAGAGAGGTGGAACTAGTGGCTTTTCAAATCTTCAAAGTTGGAAACAAGACTGGTTTTGAAAACAATCAAGTTCTGCGTATATTCTTAGTACAATGACAGATTTTATGACAGATTTTATGACAGATTTTATGACATGATCATCCATAAAGTTCTTACCATTGCAGCAAATCAGCTCTTAACTTTCGATGCAGTGTTTTCCCTAACACTTTCCATCATCTGTCTGAATAGTAGTCTCTTTATGGCACATGGATGCAAAAGATGTGCCGCTTTTTTCGCAATTTCACGCTGTTTAAAACGAAATCCAAGATAGCACGGGTGATGAGACAGAACAGACAAAAAAGGGCGAGTAAACGTGACGGTGTAACAACTCGAAGTTCAATGTGAAGTTGTAGCAAGACGATGGTTGATTTTAAGCTACAAGACTTCTTGTATCGAAAAGACGCTCACCTTGGTATAAAGGTTGCTTATAATTTTTGTACAATAAAAATGCGACAAATGTATGATGTAAGTTTGCTTCTGTTCTTAATTAGTAATCTGTAGACTCGTGGGTTTAACTTACTATTTCAGCTCACCAAATTACATGACGCAATTGTATTAGATCTCAGTGCATCATTAATTGGAGTAAAGAAAAAGAGGCAGCCTCTGGGTTCCTAAATCATGGGCACCGCTTAACCGCCCCAAAACCTGTCCCCCTGTGAGCTCTAGCTCTGATTGTTCGAGCGCCAGAGACAATGATAACCCTTTTATTTGGATTCATATAATTGCCAATTATTAGAGAGATCAATTGTCAGCCAAGAACCCTTCAGAAACATCAGTTGGTTTTAAAATAGCGAGCCTTTTCATCAAAGTTGTCAGCAATTACGTCTCATTTCCCTCATTTCCGTGTCCTTACCCCTTTTGCAAATAAAACAAAAAGACTGAAAAATCTTAGCTCTAGGTTGCATTAGTATACGAGCCAATCTGATGTCTTTACTTTCATGATTTCAAATAATTCAATAGTTCAGTTCCTTTAACCCTGCTTATGGCAATAAAAAACAAGACCTTTGAAATATCAGCGATACTATTTGTCGTTACTGAAGACAAAGACAATTTTATATGTCAAGTTTTTTATTCGCCGCTTTTACGATCAGTGAAATTAATTATTCCTAAATTTTGAGAGCTTTTTGTGTCAACTTAACAAGGAATTAAGAAGGAGTTTCAGTATAGTATTAGATCGACTGATTAACAATTGTGAGGTAAGTTAACAGTTCAACAGCGAATGTGAGTTGGAATAACCGCTTTCAACAAACACCCGAGACTGAGATAAAAATCCTAAACACTCAACTTTTTCGATGGAGAATCATCTTTATTTGATTCTATATTTGGCTGGTGAAGCTCCCCAACGTGTCTGTTTTGACCTGTCCTCAGCTCGTATATCCCAGATTGGGGCTGAAACAGATGATAACGGCAAAATACGCCATTTAGGAGGAACTCTCCACAGGAACTCACTTGACCGGCCCAATCACTAGTAGAAAGTCAGAGGCATTAGGCGACGCATTTCTGAATTGGCCAGCTGCTGAACATCATAATAGCGGCTTAAAACTGTACACAAGCTGGTCTACCCGAGTAAAAGCCAATTCTTCTGATTGATCGCTCTTTTCCTTAATGTTTCAAAGAAAGTTTTCTTGGTCACCACAGTGCAAGTTATAACTAAGGATGAAGGGCCCGCAATGCTTCTAATCCTTGGATAACATAATAAGAGAGCGAGAAACATTGTAAAAAAATTGCGAATGGCCGGGTTCCTAGCGAAGCCGACGAACTGGGTCGAGGAGACATGCGGAAGTAATTTTATGTCAATAGTTAGGCTTTCACTTTCAGGTTTCTTGCCAGAAACATGTCGCATTACAAAAGTGAAAGCGGTGGAAATCTTCCGAAAGCGCTGTGCCGATTTGTCAAAATCCTGCCGACAGGGCCACACGTAACTTTCGGTAGTGGATGTATCGTTTTGCAAAGTGGACCACCACCCAGTACTGATTTAATAACTACGACTCAAGTTCTAACGAAGAATGATCTCCTGGGAGACAGTTCGATCTTTGTGCAGTTTGAAGATAACCAATGGTTTGAACTGAAATTAAAAAGCCAAGATGCAGTCAATCTTCCAGATTCCAAACCCGGAAGAGTGTTGGGGGACATCGAAGGTAACGAAGATCAAGTGTCGTTCCTACGCATTCCCGTAGACATGTTCGACTCCAGGATGTGGCCTATTAGAAAAATATGGCCTCTGAAAAAACGTGCCCTTTCTTGCTTTTATCCCAGCGATGAGAATTTGGAGACTTCCATTTCAAACAAGAATATTACATGTTATGTTATTTCGGAAGACAGGAAGGACCGGCGATTTTACATCACCGAACCTTCCTACCTACGTTTTGGCAAAGATACAGATGAATTTGCCCTCTTGTCTGTCTCGGATACCGATTGCGCAAGTCCAGCAAAGACTTTCAAAGACTTTGCTAAAGAGGAGAAGCCGAAAGGTGCTCCGCTCTTGGATGCCAAAGGAAGATTGGTAGGAATGCTGGCAGTAGCAAACTCCGGAGAACGGAAAGTATATCCTGTGTTCCTACCGACCTTGACAGGTGACAGCAACAATCATGGTCTGGGTAAGTTCACTGTAATCTCTGTATTTTTTTTTTTTAGTAAAACTTTTCCATTGAAGATCAAAACATCGTCAGTACAGAGTAATCCTTTCAAATAAACTCGGGTTTATGTGTGACGAGTTAAATTTTAGACGTGGTACGTTTCTTCTTTAACTGGATGAGTGCCTACGCATTCTTAAACACTGTTGAACTAAAAATACTTTTTCGAAAAGCAAAGCAAACTAGGCTGTTTAAAATCGAAGTTTCATATCAGAAACTCCTCGAGATGGAGGCAATTTTCGACAATGCAACGACGATTGACTGCTCTTCGATGGTATTAGCTACAACAAAAAAAAAATGTTGTGCTGCGTTGATTGGCAAGTGAAACACTAAGTTTTCTCACTACAATGAATTAAATCATATTCAATATAATTTATTTCAATTCATCAACATCGCTAGGTTACAACGTAGAGGAGCAAAAGCCAGAGTCTAAATGGCCTATACTGAGCGGTAAATAATTAAATGGTTAAAAATTAAATTAAACAGACTATACTCATTCATCAAACAGATAATTAAGTCGCACTAAGCAATCACTTAATTGACTTACAGAAACTTAGTCATAAAATTAAGTTGAAAACACGAAGCTAAGCTAAATCAAGCATAAGAGTTAATAAAAAATTTGACACATTTGTTTTAGTTTTAGAGTTATTTGTATTTATCGTTATGATAAAACATAGATATCTAAACTTTCACCGCCCTAAGTAACATATTTAGGAAATACAATTTTGACTTATACCTGAAGTAATGCTTTGTTAGACTGTTTCGCACCATCAGCAGAATATCATTCCAAATATTAGGAGCTTGACAAGTTAGAGCAAATTGGTATTTGTGATGAAATTTGTGAAGATTGTGTCGAGACTGAGTCATATAATTATGATAGTCAGAGTTAGGGTGTAGGAGTGAAGAAACAGGAGTGGGCAGAAGACCATTGAGCTGTGAAAATACGAAAATTAGACGTAGAATTTACAGATAGCGTGAAAAAGAAGGATATTAAGGTTAGAGAAGAGAGGTTTGGAGTGGGAATGAGGATGAGAAAAGGTGATTATGCCGGCTTCAATTTCCTGTAGCAAGTGAAGAGGTTCAAGATGAGTGGTGTATGTAGAGGCCCAGATCAGATTGCAATAATTAACATGAGGGAGAAAGAGAGCATTTTATAGGGTCTTCAAGTTCTCAGAAGGTAGATATTGTCAAGATTTGGATAGAATACCTATGACTTTGGAGACCTTATCCTTAACAGCAGCAATGTGAGGTTTCCACGAGAGATTTTGGTGGGTAATGATTCCAAGAAATTAGGTCTCATGGACGCGTCTAATAGATGTGTTACTAATCCAAATATTGACTGTTGAGACCTTTCTTTGTTGTGGGTGAAAATTTATAAATTTGATACAGGTAGTCTCATGGACTCGTCTAATAGATGTGTTACTAATCCAAATATTGACTGTTGAGACCTTTCTTTGTCGTGGATGAAAATTTATAAATTTGATACAGGTAGATGAACAGTTACGGTGGTTAACCTATAGCGCTAGCGCTATGTCACACAATTTAGCTGTTGTTAAGTGTAACCATTCAAAACATATTTTGTAGGAGACGAGAAAATCAGTAATGCAGACATGATGCCTTTCCAAAACAAAATATTCAGACCTGAAACGGATGAAAAAGAGCAACATAATAATCATTCACCTAAAAATCCAGTATCAAAAGAGTTTAGAAATGAAGATAAGGGGGCACAAACCAGCACAACGGATAGGCAAGGGAGTGCCAGTCCTCCTTCAAGTCCTTTACATGAGAGTTCTCCAGAAGCCAAGTTAGGAAATGGTTCTGCTCAAGAACAGCATGAGTCTGGAAGTTCACATCGACCAGACAATGGTGAGGAAACTTCATCAGGGGAAGTTGAAAGCAATAGTTCTGCTGAAATGGCGAATCAAAACCAGCCGCATGATGATCCTTGCACTTCAAGCCTTCCAGAAGATAATTCTGCTCCAAAACAGCGTAAAGACCAAGAACAAGACGAGTCTGTAAGTTCACAACGACCCAAAACTAGAGAGGAAAGTTCATCAGAGGTGGATGAAAACAGTTTCAGCGGTAGTTTTGAAGTGGAGAATCATGGCCAGTCACAGGATGATTCTAGAAGTTTAAGTTTTCAAGAAGATGACAAGAAAAGTTCACCAGAAGAAACAGTAAGTAATTGTTTTGCTTAAATGAAGCTGTTACATTGAAGAAAATGGTTTTGTGGAAGACCCTGACCGAGACAATTCATTGCTGTATAACAATAACTACAACAATAATAATGATGTAACATAGAATTTGTTCCAGGAGAATTCCAGTAGAGAGTTGGAGGAGCCTCATGATTATGCATCAATGTTTGAAGAACAAGATCAGGAAGGAGGTAATACTGGATATGGCCATGCCAACAATGAGATTTCACTCCGGGATGAACCAGATGGAAAAAACAAAGGTAAGGGCTGTGACCTATAATACAAAATGTTACATGCTGATTGAGATCAACAAATAGACTACTTCTAACAGAAGTGAATCAAACAGGTAGTACTATTACTAGTAACAGTTCTAACCAAGGGCATTTACAAACCACTTTATGTCCATCTTGAGTGGCAACAGAAAGTCTAAACTAATCCAATTCTTTGTACTAACTACACTTCCTAGTTCTTCACCCTCAATAGGATGCTGCAGGCCACCACAAATTATCTTTTGCATGTTATATGTTGAATATATGAACACTAATTGAGCATAATGTGTTTGTACCAAGAGATATTCGATTGAACATATGGGAAAAATGCTAAATGTTAACCCTTTAACTCCCAGAAGTAATTAACATGAAACTTCTCCCCATAATATCCATTTATCATTCAGCAAACAGGTAATGAGAATATTCAAACTCATCAGGTAGAAGCTGCTATCTTGATCTAGCACCAAGTTCTCATAACTAATTTACAGGGAAATGTGTAGCAGCTACAGGGGAGAATTAACAATCAGACCTTGGGAATTAAAGTTTTAATTAAGTAAATTTTGTTTATTCTGGTACTAAAGGGCTGAGTTGCCTCCAACTTGGTCTATCTTTGCACAAGTGATTTGTAACATTGGATACCTTTGAAGGACAAGTTCAACTGCTTACTTTTTAAGTATAATTATGGATTAAATGGACATTACACAAATGACCAAATAAAAACTGAGAAACTAATTTTGGCCAGGAAATGAAGTTACCATGAATTACAACACTTTCCTCTAAGAAATTCACACCAGTAGTGCATGCATGCAAATGACATATCTATCCAATAACTCAGGTATAATTCACAAACCGTTTCACAAAAGGTATGAAACAAAAGCTGTACAAACAGCACTCAAGTCAAGCTGCTAATAGCATAAAGGTTTAGGTTTAAAGCATGTAAGTAAAGCAATTTTCTTATTACATTACAGAAACAGATCCCCAGGTGGATAATTATGCCGATGAAGATGTTTCACAAACTCTCGCAGGACAGGCCAGGATTCCCACACTAGCAACCCAAAATTATTGTCATGACCAGTTCTCTGACCCTGACTATTTTCATGATGATGAAGGTAGAAAGTTGTTGATAATTTGACAATTTCTTTGCTTACCAACGTCTAGAAGTAGCATTGTGTAGGTGCCTCTTAACCAGCTCAAGGAGGAAAATGTTCTTCAAATTTAAAATGACACGGCTGATCACAAGGCTAAAAAATCTAAATGTGGACCCAATAGTTTATTATTCCAGCTGTCTTATTGACCACCTCTTACAACTGTACCTGTGTATTTAAAAACATTGATTCTCTAAAGTACTAAGACCAAAATCAGCTTAGGAAAATGAAATTTAACAAATGGTTTCAAAAAGTATATTTCCTATTCAGAGGTAACTTTGTAATATCTTCTTTTCTGTTTTGGATTTAAGACTTAGTCTGGTGATCTTAACACTTTCAATCAAAAAACCCAATCTTCTTTCTTATTTGTGACTGCTTTACATTTCTTTTCGTGCAATCTAGACTTTCCTTTTCCCACGACAGTTACGGATCCCACCCCCTCTGAGCACAAACGAACTCTTCAAGAAAGACACAGCAATTCCCAACATGGGATGGATAGAACTGTAACAATGCAAACTGGTGAGGTCGCCACAAAGATGAAACATGTCAATGCAGGTAATTTACAATTTCTGACGAGCCTTCAGACATGAAGTCCACTTTGCAGCCATTCTTTAGGAAGCTCCTACATGGAGTTAAGCATAACATGGAAAACCCAAAGAATGGCTGCATATTAGACTATCAGAAATGGATAAAAATCCTTTTTGTGGTTACTGGCATCTGAAAAGCCTGTAACCATCATACTATTAGGTGTGTTAGTTAGTTAAATAGAGATTTCTGGGAAACGTTTAGAGCAGTCTCATGAGAAAGACCAAAAAAGTTTCTTTGATTGATTTTCACAATAAACACACAAATTTTGATTAAATGCTTCCCTCCATTTATACTTAGTATGCACGGTTGCATAAATACCACATTCCAAAGTAACAAAACTTTGAGGTGACATTGGATATTGCTCATGTGGTACTAAAGCTATGAAAACAGTAAAAGCCTTAATATTGGCTGATAAATCTAATCATCTCTTGTAAACAACAGCTGCTGGATCAAACATTAATTGAAACACTCTCACAGACAAGAATATTTTCTGTGACTATATTTAGAAATAAGTAATTCAACTTAAACCATTCACTGCTTCACATCTTTATGTAAGAGTGTTCATAAATGTGATGAAAAAAAGTTTTTCATCACATTGGTCTTGAAAGTGAACAGACTCTCAGTGGCAGGGCAACTTGAGCAGTGAAGCCTGTGAGAGGTCAGCAAGAAACCTGGATTAGGAATGCCAGACCTCTTGCAGACCATATTCCAGCTCAAATCTCTTGAGCTTCACTGCCTGTTATTTCATCAATTTAAAAAGTTGATAACAGTAAATATTATTGTATAATAACAATTATTATTTACTACCAATGTAGGTTATGGTGTTCGTGAGACCCCAAGTTTGCCTCCTGAGAAGGACAGACCCCCTAGAAATCGTTCTTCCAATGGGCAGAGTCGCCATGGTGACACCGATCTGCCTTCTTTTCCCAGAAGCCAGAGTGACGTGTTTGGTCCAGGAACCCCTAATCAAGGCCCACGTATAACTCGTCACAACACAATTCCAAGTAAACAGCTAGAGCATATTCTGCCAGGTAACTAGGCATAGCAGGTGGCTGGCATTTATTGGAGAGTGGTTTGAGTTACAGGTTTTTTTCTATTTTTTTGTCTTTTTTCAAAATTGTCTTTATTGACTTTTATCTTACATACAACAATGCAATACTAACACTACGTAAAATACTTACAGTTATTACGATACTAACAGTGCTTACATTACCTACAATACTACCCCTATTTCTATTTATACTTATCAATACTCACGTTTAAGACTACTTACAAAAGGATTTTTCTCTTAAACTAGCTTACACTACAAATTATATGATGCTTACACTACTCGCATGACGAATTTTCAGGTTTGGCTTTGGGCATCAAAGACTAGTTCAAAGGGGATGTTGTTTTGTGACACTTCAATTGTATTTGCTTTTAAGGATTGTTATGAAGTATTTATTGTGCTAAGTTTGCGTGAAGTGAAGATGACCATTTTTGACCAAAGACCTTCAATCTTCTCAAATAACTACAGGAATTTCTACTCCCTGGTGACATCTGAATTGAAAAAATTTGATTTGATACTGGAGCTTGGTTGTTGCATGTTGCACTAATAAAATGAACAGCTAGCAACTGTTACATTTCACCATGAATTGGTCAAACCAAAATGTGTAGAGAAAAGTTAGTGGTATACCATGTATAAAGCAAAATTAATTAAGGAAAGGTTATTAAGATGATAACACCTTTCTGTAACATCTCTACAGGGTCTTTTTTGAAGGACAAAATTGTCAGTAGGGAAGATGTCATGGATGTTCTTATCCTCCATCTGGACAGATCAGTCTGTCTTGCTCCTGGGATTCCAGCCACTCAACGTTGGGAGCATCTTGCTGACCAGTTTGAGGTACCAGACGATGTAAAGAGTCAATGTGCAAATTTCTCTGGAAAGCTGAGCTCAAGTGAATCATTGTTTGAGCACTTATGTGCAACACAAGACTCCCTTACAGTGAAAGAGGTCAAAAGCTGCCTCAAGAAACTTGGACGAAATGATGTTGTCGCGGAGCTCGAGAAAAACAGTCACCTCAAAGGTAACCCTTCGACACCTTATGAAGCACATGTTTGTTCTTATCTATAATGTGAGACATTTTGAATTGACTTAGTTTACCTTCCGCCCAACTTTGGTTATTTGACTCTGGACGTCGTCATATTACGCAGCGGCTCGTGATCAGTTAATCATCAGAGGTTTCACAATTCTTGGCAACATGTATCACCTTTAGCTGGTGGGGTTTTAGAGCTATTGAAACGAAACAAAACTCCATGAAAACTGTAGCGGAATATTTTTCACAATTGACCTAAGCAATCAAATGCATTAACTAAATAACGGTTACCAAAAACAATTAATCGCGATTTTTAATCCTGTTTCTTAAGACGAAAGTACAGTCACCGACCTTTATGAACAGCATTCAGAAACCTTATGTAGTATATGCATGAAACTGGACGACAAGCGGAGCATAAAGAATTGGTACCATTTTGGAATTGCAATTGGTATCAAGGCAGGCACCCTAAGAAGATTAAGAGACCCCTCTAGAGACAGTCCAAGTGAGATGGTCCTGCAAATGATCCAAACAAGAAAACCGCGTCTTCCGTGGAAGAAACTGGTTGCGGATATCAACTTACCAGGCGTAACTAAAGCATTGGCTGGTTTTCCAGGTAGTATATGATAACTCATAATTTCCAAGCTACTCTATCTGAAGAGCCACGTCCACTCCTCTTAGTTTATTGTAATATGCGAAGCAGACGCTCTTGCAACTTTTAAAATTGTCCACGCAAACTCGACCTTTTTAGTTCAAGTATGAATGTTGCTTATTTAAGATTTCTTTTCTTTGACCAAAATGCCCAACAGCGTGTGTAATGGTAGGTGTTTCGAGTAACCCTTGTTTCTTTCTTCATTTCTTTGACACAGATAACAGCACTATCGAAATGTTGCTTGGTAACATGGACGCCATGGAAAACGTTACGACATTGTTGGATCCTGATAGAAAGTGGCAACGCGTTGGTCAGCATTATAACATCGACCAGAGAATCCTTGATAACTTAAAGCCAGGTGATTTCCAGAGTCCAACAAAAACCTTGTTGGAATACATTGTTAAAAGAGAACCAACCGCAACTGTGGATACCTTCCTGAGGTCTCTACTGAACATAAATCGCTCCGATGTTATAGAAGACCTAAAGGAGTTTTTTTATGGTAAGATTATTCTTCCAAGTCTACTGAAACGAACGCATATACATACATACCTACTAGAGTTCTATTATAAATGCCAAATTCTGCCACTTAAAAAAAAAAATCAACGTAAAAAAGTATGTAGGGAGTAAGTTTCTTAAGATGCTGTGGTGCTGCGGTGGGAAGTATGGATAGATTTTAAAGAGGACGTTTCGGCAATAGCTCTTCATCAGAGCACTCCGACAAAGGGCTAACGTTTGAAACGTCTGTTCAAGAATTTCTTATCGGTGGCCAATTTACTTTATCAGCTCTGTTGATAACACAAAGTGATCTTGTAACATCAAAAAGATACCATGATAACTCAAAGTAAATGCACGTAACTGACCTCAATTAAGGGACTCGAAAAATGCAGCTGACAACCGGGACTTCATTTGTTTACTCTTAACCCTTTACACTCTAACATCAGTATTCATATTCTCCATACTGTTCTCTGTACATTTCCTATGGTGCTGACAAGGAGAATTTGTCTAACAATCAAGAGTTTCTTTAGTTGGTGATCATTTCCTTTATTCTCATGACCTTTATGTGTGATTCAGTGGTGATATTGTAAGGAGACATTAGATGCTAATCACTCTTAGGGGTTAAAGGGTCAAAGTATGAGAACAGAAATTGTAGCCAATGGTTAATATCTCTTCCAAAAGGTGTTTTGAACATTAGGAGGTGGTATTTTTGCTAAGGTGTTGTACATTGAAGGCTCTGTATGTAGCTTTTGTCTTCGAACTTTGATTTCTCGGATTTGATTGGAGTATAACATAGCATTTTTTCCTGTCATGTGAGGTTGTAATTAATTACGCGCGATAAGTACAAATAGTTCTTAAAATAATGATGATGATGATGATGATGATGATGATGATGATGATGATGATTATTGTTATTATTATTAGGTGATGACATTGAGAGAATCCTGCGGGCGGTAGGACCTGTACCTTTATAATTTGGCAGAGAGGTGGAACTAGTGGCTTTTCAAATCTTCAAAGTTGGAAACAAGACAGTGGTTTTGAAAACAATCAAGTTCTGCGTATATTTTTATTACAATGGTAGATTTTATGACAGACAAGGTTACTGTAAGGATCATCCATAAAGTTCTTGCCATTGCAGCAAATCAGCTCTTAACTTTCGATGCAGTGTTTGCCCAAACACTTTCGATCATCTGTCTGAATAGTAGTCTCTTTCTGGCACAAAACGGCCTGCGTCACACTGTCATAGGATGCAAAAGATGCGCGGTTTTTTTTAATAATTCCACGCCTTTCTATTCCTAAGTTTATAATGAAATCCAAGGGAGGACAGGTAATGAGACAGTAGCGACAGAAAAAAGGGCGAATAAACGTAGCAAAATGATGTATTATTGTTGTATCGAAAAGACGCTAACCTTGGTGTAAAGCAAGGTTGCTTATAATTTTTGTACCATGAAAGAGCGACAAATGTACAGTGTAAGTTTGCTTCTGTTCTTAATTCGCAATAAGTAGACTTGTGGGTTTAACTATTTCAGCTCACCAAATGACATGGCGCAATTGTATTAGACCTCAGTGTATCATTAAAATATATCACTAATTAAAGTTGAGAAAAAGAGGTGGCCTCCAGGTTCCTGAATCATGGGCACCACTTCACCGTCCTAAAACTTGTTCCCTTGTGGATTCTAGCTCTGACAGACAATGGTAACCTTTTTATTTGGATTCATAGAACTTCAAGTTAACTAGAAAGATCAATTACCTGCCAAGAACCCTTCAGAAACATCGGTTGGTTTTGAAATAGCGAGCTTTTTCAACGGAGTTGTCAGCAATTGAGTCTTATTTTCCTCCTTTCCGTGTCCTTACCCCTCTTGCTAGAAAAATAAAGAGACTCAATAATCTTAACTTTAGGTTGCAAAAGTGTACGAGTCAATTTGTGGTCTTTACTGTCATGATTTCAAATAAGTCAACTAATCAGTTCCTTTGACCCTTCTCGTGGCAGACAAAACAAGACCTCTGAAATATCAGTGATACTACTCTTTGTTACTGAGAACAATAAAAATTTTATTTGTCGCATTTCATGGCTGACGCTTTCATTACGTTCGGGAAAAAATTCCTCAAAGCTGAGAGTGGTGCAAAGGGAGATTTACCTCACGTTTACAACAGGGTTAAACTAAACAAAGATCATTTTCTCAAATCCTCACTGAAAATAACACGTTCCAGCTCCGCCGACGCACAGCCAACCCAAGACAGCAAAACAAAGTAAAGAAACCCTGAAGGCGAAACTGGGCACCAGGGCCTTCGCGGTTAAAGCCCGCGAATACTTGTCAATAAGGAAGTAATTCCTTGGCATGCTTCTTGCATAAATTAAGAGTCGTTCACTTGTGTTTTCAATCCTTCTTTCTTAGAATGGCACAAGGAGGAAGAGATATAATGAGTTCTGCGTCGAAAATTACACAACAAGCCCTTGGACGTCCGTCCGTGACAACTGGAAGTGCGTGGATTTTAAATGGACCCTTTCCGATTGACGACGGTAATCTTTACCAAACATCTGAACAAAAACCGATCAACCAAACGTTCTTGGCTACTACAAACCAAGTGATGAGACCAAGAGGGGGCAAAACAAGTTGGCAAGCTAAATTTGTCTCACGTAAATGGTTTGGTAAGTTCAAAACCAACGAGTGTTACAGCATAGAGAGTGATGCATTTTATGAAGTTCCAGTTTCTGATGGCAACACCAAGTTAATCCTGATACCAACAGAATATTTGCACGATCAGAAAACTTTTTCAAGGTGGCTAGGTAACAAATTCAAGTCCAAACGTTCCCTGCCTTGTAGTCAAGAGGAGAAAGTGTCACAGTTTGATAGAGCTGATGCGAAACAAGATGAGCTCTACTGTGACGTCCTAACCGAACAGTTTTCTCGGAAGCGTTACCTCTTCTGCGTAGATGATCACGAGTCTTATTTTTTGGAATCCAAGAGAGACGAAGTTCAACTAAGAAATTTGAAAGATTTTAAGCCGAATGAAATTCCAAAGGGTGCAATCATCCTCGACAAAAACGAGTGCGGCGTAGGATTGTTGGCCTTTGACGACAAGGAAGATATTCGTCCATTATTTTTCCCCCAAAACTTGCTTGGTAAGTATTCTTCATTTGATTCTGGGATTAACTTTGTAACCTTGTCTTTTGAAGCAAGATTATAACCCCGCTGCTCGTGTGCAGTATGAAGATCCTAAAGCACCTTGCTCTGATCAATCTAACTAAGTTGATCTAACGAAGTTTGCAGCCTGGGGTGTATATTAGGTGAGACACTGAATGAGACTTTTACATTTCAAGAGTAAATTTACAAACCATCTAATTCAACATACACAATCAACATTTTGAAGTTATTAAGTGACTCAGAAATACTTCTGATCATTTGGATGACTTCTCCCATGTTAAATGCCTAGTAACAATGGCATAGTTTTCACGATTTCAGTACAAGATGAGCCATGTGTGTAAGAAACAGAAATAGCCTTTTCTTGCCTCGTAAAGAACCAGTTTATCCATTTATTATATTCAACAATCCAATCTTCATATCCATGACATATTTAAGAAGTTAAAGGATCCAGTTTTTAAGGTTTTTTTTTGTAATTTTAATTCTCCCATGTCTGAAGTATTTCCTGTAATGCAACCACATGGGTGTTTGCAATGGGCAAATAATGGAAATTTTGACTGAGAAAGTGACCCTACAAAGTAAAATTGGTACATAGGAGTAGTTAACAGAAAGTACGCACAGGGTACTTTGTCGCACAGGTTTAGCTGTTCTGATTTCTTTTTGGATTATCAGTGTAATGTAATTTTTATTTACACTTAACAACTTTGTAGATTCCAATCAACAACGTCCTGTCAGTGGTTCATTTAATAATAATCCAAACCAGCCTGAAGGAAACTTGTTCTTAAAGGAAGCCAACCTTGAAAGTTCAGGTAAATATGGTAAAGATCATACAGAAGGTCAGCTGGAAAGAGAAACGCCCAAAACATCAGAGCGCCAAGAATATGAAAGACAGAGTAAGAATGTCTTTTTTCAATATTATCTAACCTTGTCTGACCTGCCACAACAAACACCTTTTAAAATCCAATTCTTTCACTTTTCTTAGTGGCTTCTGTTGTTACTTTATCAAGCACCTTGCTCCAGCCCCAACTTTCCTAGCTTTTCTGAAACTTCAGCCAGGTTTCCTTGGCCTCATAGAAATTTTGTCTAGTCAAAATAATTTCACATGACTTCTAATTGTTATTTAGTAACTTATTACTACATCATGAATGCAACTTAATAACTAATACTTATAAACATAAGTTAATAATTTGTGATCGTGACAAAATAACTGGAAATGGAGAGTTTGTAACTAATGACAGCATATAAGAAACTTTGGATCATGACTTTACATCTTAGGATCGGCACATTTAACTTGCAATCCCAAGTTACTAAAGTCTTGATGACACAAGTGATGTATCCTATATAAGCCACCTGAACGCTGGTTAAACCGGATTTTACTCGAGACAAACCTAGCATAGTTTTATGTGAAGACAAAAAAATAAAATAGCAAAACCACACACACGCAAAACATGCCTCCTTAAAATCACCATGAAAATATATCATTTGCTTTTTTTTCTCCCTTGAATGTAAAATTTTTATCTCTCTCTGTTACTGACCTCATATTTAGAGTCTGTCAAACCAAAGCTGTTCATTATAGCAAGAATTTGAGTTATGCATCACATACAAATTTCACATGATTATTATTAAGAAATCTTATGAAATAACTTCCTTGAGAGGATATTAGAAATTTCATCTACAGGACTATAAAACGCATAATGCAAACCATTTTTGTCACAAATGTCACCAACAGAAAGTAATTTTACTTTGTCAATCCCATTCACTTGTACAAGCTTTTTGCCACAATGCAAATTCTCCTGAGAATGAGACACAAGAGGACAATGCTGAAAACAACCAAGGACAACCAAGAGGTTCTGGGGATGGTAAGGAGGAAAAACCTCAGTTACGCAAACACCAGCATCAGGCTGAAGAATGTTCAGCTGTGAAAGAGAGTGAAATTGATGGTGAGAAACAGCAAAGCACTCAAATCAAACCTCCAATCAAGAGGTTATGTAGTGAACAACAAGCCACCAATGAGAGGCCAAGAAAAACCTAATAGGTCACTCAGTGAGAGGGGTCACATACCGTCAAGACAAGATAGTAAATGTTCAACCCTCTGTGTGCTTCTTCATTGTACCTCTTGAAAGCAGCTATGATCTGTATGCAAAAACTTCACTGAGATACCAATAGTTTTCACATTCAATGATGGTTCTTAATGTTGCTAATTCCTGTGGCCTTTTTTTCTCCAACCACATAATCTGCCAATTCACATGATCCAACCTCACTACTGGTGCATAAAAAGGAGAAGAGCCTTTGATGCTTAATAAAATAAATCAAGTTCAGACTCACAAGTACTCATTCCGTAAAAATATGTAATCAACAAAGGCTCAGGTTTGAAGTATGTAGTTAAAACAATATTGTATGACATTGCAGAACAAGATCCCCAGGTGGATAATTACACCAATGAAGATGCTGCACAAAATCCCACATCACAGGCCAGGATTCGCACATTAGCAACCCAAAATTCTCATCATGATCAATTCTCTGACCCTGATTGTTTGCGTGACGATAAAGGTAGAAAGTTGTTTTAACAAAAAAATAAATTATCAAAGTATTAAAATACTTTGATAATTTTTTTTTTTTTACCAACATATAGAAGTAGCATTTGTGTAGATGGCCCTTCCAGTCCAGGGAGGAAAATGTTGTTCAGGTTCAAAATGACACAGATGATCACATGGCTAAAATATTGAAACTCAATAGTTTAATATTTCTGCTGTCTTTTTACCACGTTATAACGACAAATTTAAAAATACTGATTCTCTAAAGTACCATGACCACAATCAGCTTTGGAAAATGGGAATTTGACAAATGGTCTGAAAAAGTATATTTTCCATCCAGAGGTAATTTAGTGATATATTCTTTTTTGTTTTGGATTTGAGACTTAGTCCGGTGATCTTAGCACCTTCGACCAAAGACTAAACCTTCCAAAAATAATAATGATGTAATGAAAAACCCAATCTTTATTCTTATTTTTGAGTGTTTTACATTCTTTTTGCTTGTAATATAGATACTCCTTTTTCCAAGACGGTTACGGATCCCACCCCCGCTGAGCACAAGCCAACTCTTCGAGAGAGACACAGCAATTCCCAGCATGGGCTGGATAGAATTGCAACAATGCAAACTGATGAGGTCTCCACAGAGAAGGAACATATCTATGCAGGTAATTTACACGTAGTCCTTCTTAGTTGTAGTCATTCTTTAGAAAGTTCCCACTAAGAGTCATGCATAACATGGCAAACCTAAAGAATGCTGCATAGGAGACTATCAGAAACGGATAAAGACACACATGCCCAAAAATCTTTTTTGTAGTTACTGGCATCTGAAAAGCCTGTAACCACATTATGCTATTGGGTAAGAAGGTAAGTTAAAGAGAGATTTCTCAGAAACATTTGGAGCAGTCTCCCAAGAAGGACCAATAAAGTTTTTTTTAATTGATTTTCACAAAAAACACACAAATTTTGATTAAATGCTTCCCTCCATTTACACTTAGCATACATGGTTGCATAAATACCTCATTCCAATGAAACAAAACTTTGAGTTGACACTGGACATTGCTCGTGTGGTGCTAAAGCCATGAAAACAGTCAAAGCCTAATATTGGCTGAGTAATCTTTTTCTGTGACTATATGACTATTTTCTGTGACTATATATCAACTAATGGCATCCATTGCGCTTCACGTCTTTATAATTTCTCTCAGTAAAAAAAAAAATTCCAGCCTCCAATCAAGAAATGTTTTGATTAAAGCTTAAATTAATACTCTTTGATTCAATATCACATTTTAGAAGAAAAGATTTGAAGTTGGCACCAACATACCCACTCAAATTTCCCTGTAACATGTTTAAACAGTAACTATATGTCCTTTCCAGGTACCTTTATTTTGTTTTGTTATGTTTTTCCTGTTCTTTTCTTAAAGTTTGCTTTTTGTTGAATTTAAGGTAAGAATACCCTTAATTTTTCTAATTGTCATCTTCAGGTTCATATGTAGAAAAATTAATCCTCAGAAAGGAACTCATCATGGATCTGCTCTCCCTCTATTTGGATAGATCAATCTATCCAAAGTTCGGAGGTGCTCCATCATTGGCAAAACGTTGGGAACATCTTGCAGACTACTGCAAAGTAGATGCTAAAATAAAAAAGCAGTGTGGGATCTCTGCTCATCTGAGCCCAAGTGAAGCTATGTTTAAATACTTGTGCCAATCTAAGGAGTCAATTAAAGTTGGAGCCCTGAAAAAGAACCTCTTGGAAATTTCAAGGAAAGATGTTCATGATGAGCTGGCAAACAATCAGAATTTGCTTGGTACAAACAACTTAACACACTTAACTTGCACACTTAACACACAATGACCATGCACTGTACTCTTTGGATTAATCAAACATTCAAGTGTTGCTTATTTTGCATGAAAGCAAGACTGTAGTAACAGAAGCTGTTGCATCTATTTCTTTTCCTCTGTTTGATGCTAAATTAGGAAATCTTTGTAATGATTTTCATAATTGTTTTCCAGATGATGACAATATGAATGACCTTTGTGATAATCATCCAGAAACATTGCTGAACATTTGTTTACACCTTGACGACAGTCGCTCTGTCAGGTATTGGTATCACTTAGGACTCAAGATAGGTATCAGTGGTGAGATACTGCGGAGCTTTAAAGGTCCCTCTGAATTTAGCCCAAGCAATGCAATCTTAGAAAAGATTGCAACACTGAAGCCAAAGCTTCCATTAATGGACGTGGAAACGGTTTTGCAAGAGGTGGAAAAGTGGGTACCAGGCATATCCAATGTGCTGAGTGATTTAGGTAATTTAAGAATGGAATTTAAACATAATTCTCATTTAATAATATAGTAGATATTTTACCTACAGGGGAGTGTCAGCATTTGATAAGACAACTAATTCATATAATTCCTGCTTCTATTTTGAATTTTTTTGGTTAATGGGTAAATAAAATTTGCCTTAGGTTCTCTTTGAAACATTACGAATCTCTCCTTTGCTAACAATACAAGAGAGAAAAATTGAGAACACAAACAGTTGTAGCAGATAGACATCCTGTAGTGCTCACAATTCAAATTAAAAAATCAAGTTGATTGTATAGGGTTTAAAAAGCAGAACAGATGGTACATGCTGAAAATAAGCCATGGTTCATAGAAAGACTATCTTGGCAGACATTAACACATTCTGAACAAGTGAAGGACTATATCTAAATGTAGCTTTTTAACCAACATGATGGTTTGTCAAATTATAAGATGGTTCTTAGCTCCTCAGACTAGTACAGTATTTTGTATGCAAGCTACAAATAAGAGAAATAATTGTGATTGCGAATAATTATATGAAAATCAATCCTCTGAACTGCGGGTTAGGAAATTAAATATGAAAGTGATCTTTGCGGTAATGAACACTACTACAAGCAGTATTGAAAACAAGGCCTGAATTTTTCAGGCCTTATTTAGTTAGTAAGTGCCATAATGATTCGATTTAGCCCTTGAGGTGCCTATTTACTTTTGGTACCTCAAAGAGGGAAGGTGCTTATTTGAAACAGGTTGCTTATTATGGACAAGGCAGTTATTGACGAAATAAAGACAGCAGAATCTGAAGCAAAGCTTTGGTGTTTATTTGACTGAGGATCAAAAAGACTGGAAAATGGACTTGTTTTCCCTGAATCCTTTTCTGCTAGGATGACTATAGCCAAGCAATTGTCCAAAATTTTAAGACAGGATCTTTCATTTGAAGGACCTGTGCATTCATGCAGACACCACAGTTTGTTGTGAAGCTTTAAGCAAGCATCAAAAGGAAGATGGACCATGGTTGATCTCATTTCTGTACATGTACTCTCACAATGCTTTTACTGAAACAGATTAGGGGCATTTATTGGAATAGGAGCATTTATTTGAATAGGGGTGCTCATTAGAATAAGGGGGGCTTATTAAAAAATGCAAATTTGAAGGGGGTGCTTGTTGGATGGAGACACTTACTCAAATCCTTACAGTGCCCAAGTAGGGTTGCTTTTATATTAAATCAGAGAAATCTCAGAAAACGCTTCATTCTAACTTAATTAGAATGAACACAAACCTAACTTTTTCTCACAAATTCAGCTCGCTGGCTACTGTACATAAATGGGGTTTACTGGAAAAAAATCAATTTCCTTTAAGAGTATTCTTGTAGATCCACGTGCTTCATTAACAATATTTAATTTAAATTTATCTTTGCTTCAGCTGTAGATTCAAGTAGTAGTACAATTCAGACCTTGCTGGATGACTTTGATGCTGTTGAGAAACTAACAGCTCTCTTAGATCTTGAAGAAAGAGCCTGGATGCACTTTGGTTCTAAGCTGGGAATGGAAAGACTAGAATTAAACAGTCTAAGGGAAGAAAGTCCACCAAGCCCTACAAAATTGCTGATGAAACACATTGTTGCTCGGGAACCAAACCTCACCATGAAGTTTTTCCTGAGAGCCCTGGCAAGCATCAAACGCTTTGATGTCATAAATGAGCTTGAAAAATTCTTTGTTGGTAAGAATATAGTTAACTCAAGGATTAACCATAACTCAGGCTTAAAATGACAATTTACATTAAAATTTTGGTGGATTAGGCAAAATCCCAACTGGGCCTTAACAATTAGGGCATGCAGTCAACAGTTCCTAAATAAAACTTGATCAATTTACAACAAGATTCAAAACTGCTTTGATGAAAGTTTTCAAATGGGCATTTAATTATTTATTATATAGCTTTAACTCTTAGCCATGTAAGACAAAGTCATGATTATGTTTTATGACAAGAACTCTTGTAAAGTCTTTTGCATTGACATCAAAATAAAGAGTGAGGTCACTCTGACAGACTCAGCTCAGCAGTGGTGGTCATTGTCAAATATTGTTTTTAAAAAAACATAGTTACATTTAGGGGCAGCTGAAATGTCAAGAATATACTTTAGGAAGAATTCATCATAAATCTGATCTTGTATTAAATCTTACATTTTTTTTCATATTTCAGCCAAAGATATAGCTGACATATTAAAGGGTGAAGAAAACTTCACACAATAAGATAACATGCCCCTCCTTTAACTTCTTTTAAAATCAAGACAGAAAGGTAATTTGACTTCAGTTGTCTATGGTAGTTGACAAATTGACTTACTGAAAGTCAAATTGTGTGTTAACATACTGGAAGGCAAGGGGCATGAGCAAATGGGAAAATGACAACATGAACAAATCAACTCAGCAAAAGTTGAATTGTGCATCAATGTACTGGAAGTAAAAGGGCATGAGCAACTGAACCTTCCTTGTTCTTAAAATGTAAAACAGCTGGAAGTCAATTTGCAGAGGAAGATATTACAGATAAACCTTCATCCAATCTGACTCGATTCAACTTGACTTGTCTTTAGTTAAGTCTATCCATAGCAAGTTGTGGTATATTTTATAAGTGCCTTGCATATAGACTTTCAGTATGACTGGTTTACTATAAAGAAGTCAAATCATCTGATTTGAGTTGGATCAAGTAGATTTGACAACATTTTTAACCATTCCCCATAGCAAGTTGCCGAATCTACAATTTGAGTTAAATTGAATCAAATTAACAACCTTTTCAACCCTCCCTGTTAGCAACTTAATGAATATATTTTAAGTGTTTTCCAGTATGACAGGTTGACTTAAATTGAGATGAGTCATTCAATTCGAGTTGATTAGAGTGGCTTCAACAACATTTTCAACCCTTGCCATTAGCCATTTTCTAAGTGTCTTAAATATTGACATCCGGTTTGACATTTCCACCTCAAGAGTGACAGTTCATTCAAATTTCTGGTATCACATGATGACTCAACTGCAAATTGACTTCTGGTAAGTCAATTCGTAAACTGCCTTTTTACTAATTTTGGGGTATTAATTGGAAAGCCCTCAGGTAGTGACTTTAAAAATATATAATCTAAACTCATTGCTAAATGGTACACAGATTGAAGACCTGGAGAAAATGAAATAGGAAGAAATGATAGTGACACCAAATATGGTTCAGTCAATAATTCAGTTCAGTCATATCTACATAATTCATTGCAAGGAAACCCATCACAAGTAGAAAAACTTTAGATTTTGTTTTGTTTGTTTGTCAATCTTTTTTTTTTTTTTACTTAGAATACCCTGTTTAAGTACAGGACGGATAGTGGTGTTACAAATTAATATTAGTCCAGGATGATAGAAGAGAAGAACAAGCATGGAAGTAGTTAAAAGAAAAAAAACAGAATAGGTGCACATCAAAGTTAAGAGAAGAATTAAAGGAAGACTCAAAAAACAGTTTTAGAGGACAAATTAATATAAGCACAGGTATGCTGTTATTGAAATGTGATAATGTTGTGTTAAAAATTTTTCTGGGTTTTATTTTGCCAATTTCCATATTTGTTGTTTTACTTTGTCATAAAGAATAAAAGATAGGTTCTATAAGGAAAAAAGAAAATGAAAATGCATCGAAAAATGTCAAAAAGAAAAAAACTTCAACCACAACAACACATGATAATAACTAAAGCAACTTTGTAATCTTAATAGTTTGTACCTCTCTTCTTCAATTCACATTCTGTGACAAGTCATCAGAGTCACATGTAAGATTAAGTGAGTGTAATAATATCTAATTAAATCCATAGATTATGTATCAGTCATTACATCTTGGAAAACATGGCAATGGGACAAGCTGCCCAAACCTATTACTAACAGGCAAACTTTATTAAGATCTCACCTTCAATCCTAGATTCCTGTCTTATAGATGATTAATCTCATTATTTCTTTCAAGCCTTCTCATCTCCAACAGTCACATCTAGAGAATATAAACAGATACTAATTGAAAATACAGTTGTAGGGTCAAATTGAATGATAAATACACAGTAGTCCCATGTGGAAAAAGATCAGCCTGATCTCAAGGCAGTAAAATACTTGGATCCATGTTATATTTTAAAATGTTGATATATAACATTATGTTGCTCTGCAACTAATTGTTGTTGTGTTGTATTACAAAGATGAGGTGTCCACTGGTGCACTTAATATTGATAGTTGAACTATTATCCAAACCTAGCCATTATAATTAGTGTAAGATTTTATCCTTGCCTTTATTTATTTTCCAAAATTATCTTTTTTATACTAGCTCATTCTAACTGTAAAAAGCTACTTAAAAAGTTAAAAAAAGCTAGTCAACACATCAGCCACTTAATCACTTCAATGCTTCTTCATACACTCATTCTTGATTTTAAAATCATGTTTGATATATATCAGCACATAGTCTTGTAGTTTAATAAATGAAAAAAAAATTAAATGAATATTTTGTATGTTCATCACTTGTATAATCTGTTGTTCAGGTGACCGTTATAATCATAGTGACTGCACGTGAAATAGTATGTGTAGCTGGCAGTTTTATAGATGCTTGGAAGCCCTGACTAGCAATGAGCCATAAGAGACTTGGGTTAGAAAATTGGAGAAGGTGTTTGAAGGGGTGGTACTCAAAATTAAATCCACCAAGATATATTGGTTGGTATCTCCAGTTAAAGCTTTTTTTATCCTTTTTTCTGGCTAAGTCACACATATTTTCATCTAGACACCAATAAAAGCACTTGATAAGGACATCATATCAAAAGTAACCTAGGACACCCAATCTTTTGAGTGTCTGCCTTGTCACCTAACCATTTGGACTGCATTTTAGTGAAGTCATTAATACATTCATGGGACTGCTTCATAGTTGCAGTTAGTTTCAAATTGTCACTATGGGTCCAAAAAAACCCACTGTGGGCTTGCAAATTAGGATAACAATTAGCAATTTTGTACTAATGGACTACAATTCAAATTGAAATCAAACTAAATTAAGTTATTTTGAAGACAGGTTGGATGCTTGAATCACAACTGAATTTGGCAACTTCTATGACCTCCTTGGGTCATAAGTTCTCTGCAGTACCCGTAGGTATTTGTTTGTAGGACATAAAAAACCCCTAATTGCGTAAACAGTCCTTATTGAGTTATTTTTTTGTGTTGGTGCATTTGGTGGTAAATTGCTCACTCCAGGCACATAGTTGCAATAGGGTATGTATCTCACACTAATCAGAATGTTGGATGAGGGTATTTATCTCCCACCAATCAGAGCACAGCATTGAAGTATGATTGCACCAATCAGTGTATTGTCTCTCATGCCAATCATGTCATGAAATTAAGGCACCTCAATATGTTGCCATCAAATTAACCCAACATTGACACACACCAAGAGTGACATTTTAATAAAGAACTGTGAGCTCATCTACCCAGAGCTCACATCTCTCTGTTCCTCATGATGACTTTGTCACTATGATCTGTTGTGGTTAGAAATATTATCAGGGAATTTTTCTACCATTTAAAATGTGTTCTCTGTACAGTTTCTTCACTCAATGCACATGCCATCTGCTTAAGGCCTAACACTAAATTACCACTGGATCATTTGTTTTGGGAGGGCCAGTTTTGCTGACTCAGGTAAAAACTGCTATGTTAAACTGCTTTAAAAAGTTTTCCATAAATTACATCTTGTTTTTAAATGGTACTTTCCTAAAAAAATTACTTTACTTTCTCAGAAGAATGCCATTTTTCAGTAAACAACCTAAATTTTATGACATAATCCTTATCCACTGCAATAATTTCACTTGGAAGTAAATGCTATGGTAAGTCAATTTTCCACACAGTTCTCATTTGCTTAAACATTTTCTATCAATCAAATTCATTGTCAGTTACCTTAAATGACTCCCCACCTGTCAATTCCTTGTAAACAACCTGCATTTTATCATGTATTCCACACTCAAAGTAGCCAACAACCAAATAGCCAGTAACCAAATAAGGAGCCCACATGAAAGCCTTTCAAATATAGTACTATTTTCTTCATTCAATTTATTTTCACTTGTTTGAGGAACAGAGACGACAAAACATCTTCAGGTAGAGGCTTTAGGAGATAAAACACCTTCTTGGTTTGCCTTCCACAGCAAAATTATATGGAAGAAAAATTTTAAGGTCACAAGCTGTAACTGAATAATATTGATTCTGTCTCTGATGAAGAAACGGTATTAAGCAAAGTCTTAGGCTGTGAGGAGGCCTTTGTCTACACTTGTCATGCAATAGGAGAAGAGAGTGTGTTGTGTGACGAGACCAAACAATAGCTGTGAAGGAGACAACAGGAAGTGTGGCATCAATAGCAACACCGTAAAATACCTGTGCCTAAATTCATTTCAGATAAATTGGATGGGTTTTCTTCGCTCTCTATTGAATAATATTTTCTCTGGCATCTTTTGAAAGTAAATGCCCCTTTTCTTTTACAAAAATGCAAACAACATTTACTTGGTGTCTCATTTCCAACCAACCATCCAAAAAAAATAGTTTTGGTATATGTAGCATGCCTATGTTTAATAGATTCGTCTTTACGACAACGTAATTTTCCTCTTTCCTTGGTAATTACTTAATTATGGCTCCACTTTAAAAGCGCATAACTGTTTGCTGAGGTGCTACAATCATGACAAACACCTTGACAAGAACGTAACCGACTTTCCGTATGATCCCAATTATCAAAAACTAAGGGCCATCACATTTAGGGAATGTGACGCGGGGTACGGAAAGATTTACGGGTACCAACGTACTTTGCCAAAACAAAGCAGTACAGCCAAAGGTCAACTATAATTATTACTATAATTGCTTTCTCTTAACAAATTGTGTGTATGATGAAGTATGAGGTTCCACTGAAATCCTGCCATAGAATTTTCGAAAGTGTCCTCAACTAGTGGTTAGCATGCAACTAATAGATTTTATTTACACTAATTTTATGTAAGTTATTATTACCACCAATGACCTAACGCGTGTTGCATACCTTTGGTAGCATGTGAAGTTAACGATGTCAAACAGTCAACAACGAATGAAATGATGGATGTTCGATAATGAGAGTTCTATCCGACTCTTCATCCCAGTAACCAAAAGCCTTTTCGATTTGTAGAGATATGCAATGAAACGAAGCGAGTCACATAAAGGCGAAGAAGGCGCGATCCTCGACTCTTCTGATGCTATATTTGTTCAGT